TAAAGAAGGAAGATTGATTGGAGAGAGATGAAATTCTATTCATTTAATATTTATCGAGTTGTTACTATTTCATACAGAAGTGAAATATGATAGTGAAAAAATAGTCTCTTTTATTGTTCTTTGCAAAATTGTAGAAATTCAATTAATTCTTTAGGACCACAATAATATTTTACATTATCCCCGTTCATCTCGGAATTTGTGGTAATTTAAAAATATTAGAATGCCTGGTGAAACTAAAGTTCAATATTTCAATTACTGATAGAATAAACGAATTACAACGACAATTTTTTGTTGAAAATTTAAAAAAAACGAATTTTTTAGCTATGAAAGAAAAGTATCTGAAAAAAATTTGGAAATAACTAACCTCTTGAGTTCCTTCTAGAATTTCAATTTCGGGAGTATAACCCATTATTGACTGATTATTCAAATTTTAAATTAAACTGCTCGCTATCTGTTGGAATAATCTGAAAATGGTCTATATATAATTTTCACTTCATAGATTTATCAATAAAAAAAATTGTTAAATCACCATCGAGAAATTTCCTCTATTTTTTATTGCTATCAATTTTCCGAAATATTCAAACTTCCTTCTTTCTTATTTCTTTCATATTTCTTCTGTTGGAAGATGAAAAAAGCTAGATGTACTTGAAATTCTTTTCTCAATTCGATCACATTTGATGAAAATCACTTCGGTAGAAATATATTCTTTAATTAAAATTTATAAAATTTTTGTACTTCCCTAAATTTTTAACAAAACGTTTTGCTAACTCATTGTTTTAGTTACAACGACAAGTTGAGAATCCGCAATGAATTGGAAACTTTTAGGAGAATTTAATGTAAAACGAGAGAATTGGAATTTCTACTCGAGAAAAATATACTTTGCAATTGAATAAATGGCAAAAAAATTGGAATGAAACAAACAAAATGTATGGTGAAAAAATTTTATTATTGCATGAAACTTCCAATGCTGATTAAACTCATTTTGTTCAAAATTTAACAAGAACAGGTGAATCAACCGCTAATAACATCAGATCAAATTGTGAAAAATATGATAAAAAGGAATTTTTCTTATACATTTCTTACACCTGTGATCAAATTCATTCTTGTCTATCAAATTTTTACATAGTTTTTTTTTGCATTTTCAAAGATTTTTCCAAAGAAAAATTAGAATTTTAAATTATAAAATAGTAATTAATAAGAAACTACTTAGTAATAAACTTTAAAGTGTACGATTTTGGAATTTTTGCAAGCATAAAATTTTTAAAACAGCGAAAGGCAAGCGGGTAGATATATTTTCACTCCTAACAGTTCGAAACATCGAGAATTACGGTATTACGACAAAATAATTTGTAATATCGCAGTTCCATTTCAATGTGCATTGGCAACAGCAACAATTCGATGTATGAATTAAAAAATATTGAAGAATATTTAAATGAAAATCCTCCGATCTGAATGCTTGCAATGTTAAAATGAAATTGATAGAATTGACGCTTTTCTTTTTCTTTAACTAAATAAAAAAATTCTTTGTTCGATCCTCTGAGAATTATAAAGTCTGTCACATCAGCGGCTTGCATGGTTGAATAACTTTTATGAGCCAAACTTTATTTTTGCATTTAAATACTAATGTTGGAAATATTTTTCTTCTATGAAAAATGAATACTTGACGGGAAGGTAATTCAGTAAATTTTTACCGGTATGCGGGAAAGGTTTTACGAAATACTTCAAATATATCCCATTAATTTATATCTATTCATTTAATTGTTACTAATAATTTAACGAATGAAGTTGATGGAAAAAACGCTAATGCTAATTAGGATTTGAAGTATTCAACAGTCTTTAAGCTTCAATAAAAATAACAGACACCGGAGAATTTGATGGAAGTATAAAGCTGTCATCTGTGTAACACAAATATCAGCTAGAAGGAAGATGACATCATTTCGTTTAATTATTTCAGATAGTAACGATTAGCATAAAAGATAAGCATTGACAGTGGAATTAAATAATTTATGATTTCGAATAACATTCGAAAAAGATGAATGTGCAATAAAATTATTTGAAGTTAATATTTTAGAGTGGAAAGGTTATATCACCGACCGTAATATTTTGCATTTGCTTCAAAATAAGCGGAAAAAATAGGACAAAGTAAGAAAGAAATGAAAAAAAAGAATATAAGCTAAAGACTGTGAGAAATAGATGTAATGAGCCTCAAATTTAACATTAAGGCATTCGCTAGAAGAACTGATATCGAGGAAACAAATAAGCTATGACATGGAAAATATGCCACGTAGCTCTCAATAACAAAAGCACAATTTCTGTTGTTTATTAAATAAGCTAAATTTAGTACGATAGATCAATGCAATGATCTGAGAGGGCCTCTATGATACGCTCCAATCCAAAAACAAAGCTAGCAGTAAGATGAAATTTAAAATATTTCCAATGCACATTTAAATCCTAACAAGATTTGAACCATAAATGAGCCAAATTATGGGATCCTCCATATTTTTTGATGTAGTTTAATTCGATTAAAGTCAAACAATCATAGGTTTAAAAATTATATACGTAGAAAACTGATATGATTTTTTCTTATTTTGTTGTTTAAGAAAATGTGGATTTTAGAACTTTTTTTTCAGATGCCTCATCTCTTGCTATTCTTTTGAAATTATTACTAAAACTGGAAATACTCGCTAATTTTCCCCTAACATTCAAAATTTGCTTTTATTTCATAATAATATTCTTATGAGCAAGAAAGCAATATATTAAATGATTTAATGTGGATTAAATTAAAAATTTGATTGTATCAAACCAACTGATCTAATTTGGCTAATTAGCTTGATTTTTTTACTGATTGGTCAAAGTCAAATGAGATAAAAATAAAGCAATCCAAGATTTCGGACATTGTAAAAAAATGCTGTCCTCAAACTAATGATGAAACTTCCTAGAATTTTCCTGAATTATTTTTCTCGTACCTGAAAGAGCATTAAATTAATTAATAAATAATGGGAAACAGAAAGAGAGGGAGAGAGAGGGAGAGAGAGGGAGAGAGAGATTGAAATGAGTATCCTTCTACCCTCCATTTTTATAAACCATCCATTCTAATTCGTATCCATAAGTTTATTTTTTCTTTGCCGATATTGTCTATGCAAACTTTGTGATTGTGCAGCGCTCTTCGTTGCATCATCTCAGAAAAATGATTCCAATTATTGGAAAATAACGGGTTATTAAAAGTTGAATTATTTTAATATTTTTCCTTTTTCAATTTATTTGAAATTCAAACTGTTCATCGTTTTAAAATTTTACACATTCCGTTCTTTGCATATTTTATTCAGAATCCATAACTTCATAATCATTTACATTTAATAATATGCGTATATTAAATAGAATTCGTACAAAAAGTATCGTAGAAAAGTTGTTATTCTGAAAAAATTGTGCATTCATTTCTTTAATTTATAGAAATTGACATATGTTTAAAATTCTTCGTTTTAAAAATTGCAGCTAATTTTTAAACAACGTTTGATATTCCTTGATTTTTAGAAATCATAATTAGTTTTTAAACAAATACGACACTTTTTCTATTTATTTGATTATAGAAAATGAGGGCATCAATTGAATTTAAAAAACACTAAAATGCAAAATAATATTGTAAAAATAAAAAAAATTTTCAAAGAATAGTCCAAAAATTCAATTTAACATGAATTTTTGACCTTTAATTTTTTTTCTAGTTCAGTGTGAAGCAGAGTTTTAGATGCATGAAGAAATCTCATTTTCAAATGTTTAATTTGATATAGAAGGCTTACAAAAATTATCACTGAGAAAAAATAAGAAAAATCTGATTAAAATTATGTCAGGCATAAGTTTATTCGCGGGAGGAAGAATGGATGCCGATTGCAGGATACTTTCTCATCTACTTCAAATTACGTAGCCGACCGAAATTTGCATTCGGGAACCGTGTTATTCTTCGTATAACCCTGGGTATTGGTTGTTATGTGTTAGATGTGGCGGAGGGCTTGAGTTGTTCATTAGTCTCCTGAAGCTGAAGGTATTGGGTGGCTGACCTTATGTTTCGAGTCACGATCATGGAATTGACTATACATCTTCATGAACTGGTCACTCAATTAAGATTACTTATGCCGGACATCATTTGTCATATTAATCACATCGTATTTTAATCATATAGTTCGAATCTTATTTATCGGAAAAAATGTAGGATTTGTTGTTTAAACTCTTTGTAGACTAGAGGCACATATCAATTTTGGTTTTTATTTCCCAACAAACTTTTGATATGCCGTTAGATTTGTTTGTCTTCCATGTGTTTCCATTTGTTTCAGGAATGGTTAATTTTGATGATTGTAGTTGAAACCAATCGAAGAAGAACTTATTAATCTTACAAAGATGTAAAATCTGAAACAAAATTCATAACATTTCATATTCTATCACCGGTTATCAACGGGGCCAGTACTGTTTTGAGGGAAATTTCTAAAAATTGGTTATTGTTTCTGTCTTATGATTTCAGGTTTTTGAGCAATGTTAGGAAATCGTATGTCAGTATTACAAATGTCAATAATTGCAAACATTTGATGTTAATTATATATTAGCTGTGATGTCATCAACCCATTCAGAAGGTCTATTTTATACAGCATTTGCTTGAGTTACTCGAATTACATGCAATGAATTTGGCGTTACTAGAAGATATCACATAAAGGAAATAGCAGAATGCTAGACTTAGTTAGCTAGAAGCATTTGAAACACATTTTTCATTATGATTCCTATATTCTAATTTCTTGAGGACAAATTTTGAATATGCAAAAATCTTTTTACGGTATTTTTTTTAATAATTTAAATCCTTACAGAAAGGATCCCTTTCACTTAAATTTTTCAGTTTTATGCCAATTCTTTTTTGAACTATGATCAGAACTTCGTACCATGCATTGCTTAATTTTCAAAAACCTGATTGATTAATATTGATTGACAAATGGTGTTTAGATTATGTTTATGATGTTCATATGGACATCAGTCATCAATTTTTTCCGCTTCCAAGCGTAGTAATACCGGATATCATGATTAGACGACCATCTGTGATAGAGGTAAGTTAATACTTCATGAATTTACTGATTAATAGTATCTTAAATTTATGTGATATAAATAATATCTCGATATCCCTCGGTATTTCTCAAAAATAGCATCTGGAGCTCTTTGTAAAATTTCAGTACAATTTCGAGAGTGAGAGAAAAGCTATTGCCGATTATGAAAAGAATAAGGCTGACTTAGCAATCAAAGTGAAGGAAGTGAAAACTAAGAATGTAATCTCTGGAATACAATCAAACATTATGGTTGAGAGAATTCCAGATGTAGCCTGCAAATTACATACTCGAAAAGTTCATTCAGATGTTATACTGGAACCAAGTCGCTTTGTAGCCACTACTTCTCAACAGGTCAGAATGTTCGTCAGATTCTGTTTTTTTTTTCTGATTTAATGAACCAAACTTGGATATTTCTGAAATACATCTATTTTTACTAGTATTTAATGCATCAAATTATGTTTCTCATTGCAGCAAAATATGAAACCAGTGAAACCAGCGCTGAATGCCTTCGAAGAATTTGAATTGAAACCGAATCTTTTTGATCTCCTGGAATTAAGTACTATAGATGATAAAGCTGCCCTTGAACAGATACTTGCCAATGCACCGCCACCACTATCCCCGAGCGTTGTCGGAAGTAACACTCAATCTTCCTCAGGATTACTGTCTTCATCATCGGTTCCAAACATGGTCTGTTATAGCTCCTTTTGTTTGTGTTGCTTTGCATAAAAAAAGTATTTAAATTTATCTTATCAATGTATTTCCACAGCAAGTGAGTCTTCTACTGTGCTTTTAAGGAACTATGGATTGATTTATCAAAATGCTCATTATATTCTTTTTTTCTTCATTCTTGATCTTAATGAATTATTGGTTTTGAGTTTCACAACCTTGAAATTTTCTTAATTTCTCCAGTTTCAGAGTATGAAAGTATCAGAAACTGATGATACCCAACGTTTGTATAATTTGCCGACTACTCTTAAAAGCTACAACAGTTCATTTGGTATCGGCGTTCCTAGTGGTTCTTTCAGGCAAAATTTATAAAGTCTTGTTGGGGCTAACTAAATTCGGTTAATTTTGAAAGCTTATTTTGTCACAGTTTTTTGTGATGATAAAGAAAAGGATTTGCTTGTTTGTCAGGATGAAATTTATTGTTATCTATGAATCACGTCATTTTAGTCTTTCTTCAACTTTCGGATTAGTTTTGGAAATAATGGAAGTAATTTCACCCATTGATCAAATAACTTCAACTTGCCACATATCGCAATTTGTATGTAAAAAATAAGTTGAAATTATTCATGATGTTTCCAGCATTTTATTTCGAATCACGGATGTCTAAACTTGGGTTTAAATATTAACTGCAGTTGCTCAGTATTTAGAGCTCATTGTATTGTTTTCTGCAATCACAGATTTTTAGACTAATTTGTTATCAATTTGTAATATTTCAAAATTCGTCGCTGTTTGAGTGTAATGTGTAACTTCTGCTTTAAAGTAAGTAGAATGTATTATGCTGACTTGTATGTACTTATTGGTTTCTTTACCAGATTTTATATAGCCTTATTTCAACCGTTCTTCCTGAACCGTTGATAAATAGAACATTCGAATGTATTGAACTTGTATTTGTTGCCAGCATACTTGTTTTTTCTCACTTAATTTTTGTATTTATTTCAGTTGTTCAACTGCTTTGTCATTAAGAAGTGAAAGAGCAATAAAAGTTTACTAATGAACAGAGATCGCTAATGAACGGAGATCGCTTTCCAATTTGTAAACTATTGTATCCTTTAGTATTTTGTTAAATTCTTCTTTAGAATAAATTTGAAATATCTAATGAAAAGGGTCAGCTGTACTGTTTTTTGTTTTTTGTCTGAAGGGGAACACATCAGCTTTCCAATTGAAGTTCACCACGACATATTTCAGAATAGCCCTCCCTTGTTTTGATGTGTTTTTTAAAATAACACAATATTCCCTTGTTCATAAGATTTTTCTACTTATTAATGATATCATCGTATGTTGGTGTCTCGAGGATCCAAGAAGACATTGTTAATGTTCTTAATGGTGAGATTAAATTTTCGAGATGCCGAGAATTTGATGGATGTTGACAGTTTCTAAGGGGAAACTCGTAGAAATTTTATGGAACAGATTGAGAATCTTCACTAAAGAAGCAAAACTTCACAATTTCTTTTCATACACAGAAATTTGTGGAAGAAGAATCTCATTTAAGTGAAATAAAGCTTCCTGCTTTTTTTCGGAAATCTCTCTATTCCTGAATTTTGTATGTTCTACTGTAATCATTCAGTGCGTCACATAAGTAAGTACAAGTGATGAAGCTATAAAAATTTTTGGTTAACTTTCAGGGAATTCAACAGCTTATTTTCACATTAAGTCAAATAACGGACCTTTTTTTCCAGAACAAAAAATTTGCAAATTTTGTTTCTCGAGATTATAAATTCATTTTAATCGGAAATTTTGCATAGAATTGAATATATTGCATTGATATTGCTGTTCAAACATTTTCATCTATTTATCTTCTCAATAACATCTGAACAACTTACTTCATCTTTCACAGAAATATCCAAAATGATGAATTTTTTTCATTATAGTGAATATGCAATATAATGCTACTCTGTATACGGTTAATAAATTTAATTACAGCACGAATATTTAATATTTAATAAAAGATTTTATCTTTTCGTTCTGTTCCTTCCTTCTTCATGACGTAAATAAGAAGCAGTGGCCAGTGGTTAGATTGAATAAAGCAGAGAAAGAGAAGGGCGGATGAGTGAATGAACGAATAAACAGATGAGGGCGTCGGATGATTACATCTTTCATTGTCATTATTGATTTTTCTATAGATGGCGGTTCGTATAGACTGGTGACAATGATGTCTTTCGAGGTCCTTTTTATTGACATATTTCTTTTGGCCGTTCAATTTCTGGAAACTTCCGCACTGCCTACTATATTTCCAGGTAAGATTGCAAAATTTGATTTGTTTGTGTCAGTGTTAATGTTATCAGTCACAAAAGTAGCATATATCGCATTAGGAAATTAGTGCCTGATATCAGCTGATGTATGTTATATTTCATTGCAGGGTTCGAAATCATTCTTATTTGTTATCAATGCTATTTGATCTTGTCGTTAATTAACTGATATTATATAAATTGTGATTTTTTGGAATTAATCAAATTTAACTTTCAGAGAGTGTCTTTACGATTGGACAATTAGCGTATAGGCGATTACTACTGGATCCGCAATCCGCATCGCTTTATGTGGGTGCAAATGGTCACTTATTCCGACTGTGGGCATATAATATCAATGCAACTGTATCTGCTGACGGCTTGGTATTTATTTTATTTCACAGCACAATTTTCAAATTTTATGCTTGCCATTCAATTGCTTGCGAAATTTCAATATGTAAAAGTGATTTTTTATAAAGTGTCTTGCAGTACGGGAGGATATATTATAATGAAGTTGCTCTGTAAACTAGTAACAGTGTTAAAAAAAAATTGCGCATGGACTTCTAGAGATAATTCTGGCACTTATTTGCTACGACTAAATTAAAGTAATATTGGCAATTAAATGTGTTTTTTATCATAAATTTAGTATGCTCACGCAGAACTTCCGGTTTCCCGATCCGATGCTGAAGAGTGTCGTCGCGCTGGCCACGCGGAGTGTATCAATGCAGTACGACTTATGTTCTTGAAGGAAGGTCACCAGACGTTGCTGGTTTGCTCTTCGAATGCTATGAAGCCGCAGCTGCGTGAATTGGATGCACTTTCGCTACAGGAACGTTCTTCACCCGAAAATGTTATCGGTGTCTGTTCAGCTCACATGGATCTCAATACAACAGCGGTACTTGTCGGTGAATTAAAATACTTTTTCTAGATACATTAGTTTTACCAAAGGTCATCAATGAATAGAGTTTTGCGTTGTATTATACTTACTGCTCTCTGAAGGAGACTTATTTGTTACAAAATTGAGGAATTTATAGAGTGGGGTAATCCGGATGATATACCTGCCATTTATTCTGGTATCAGAACAGGTCTTATTCTCGATAACAATCTCATTTATCGGCCACCACTGGTCAAAAACAACAAGGAAGTGTATTCCTCAATGCGAACCATTTATACAGATTCGAAATGGTTATATGGTAAATTATGAATATACAGTCACAATAGATTGCATAAGGAATAAAGATGATGTGTATTAGATGGCGTAAGTAAAGATATAGAAAATAAGGCAGTGTAATTATACTTAACATCTCGGTAAATTCAAGTTGCCAAACACACTGGCTTAATATCTAGGACCTTCTTTTGATCATATGATTATTTGATTTATTTAAATCCGATGTAATCCATGGTTTAGAACCGGATTTCGTGGCATCGTTCAACATTGACAAGTATGTTTATTTCTTTTTTCGTGAAGTAGCGATTGAACGAGAAAACTGTGAGCGTATTGTCTTCTCTAGAGTTGCTCGTATTTGCAAGGTAAGTACTGTTTTTGCTTTTTGAATTGAATTCGTTTTTTTTAAAATAATTGATAGCATTAAAATAATCGTAATTTCGTCATACAACTTGCACTTCACTGTGCTTTTTAAATGTAGTTATTTCTTAAATGATTTATTGAAGCTATACATTCGTTTAATATTGACGATAGTGGATGCATAACTTCGATAAGCTATTATAATAATTTAAAACTTTTCTACTAGCTTGTAAGCAGTCAAAAAATTTATGCAAATTGTAGAAAGATATTGGTGGGAAAAACGTGCTGCGACAAGTTTGGACTACTTTTGTCAAAGCTCGTCTAAACTGCTCAACTTCTTCAAAGTTTCCCATTTATTTCAATGAATTGCGTATGTTTCGTTTATGCCTTTGAAAATTTGCATGCTTTTAGTAAATTAAAAGTTTTGTTTTGTATTAACGATTTTTTTAGGCATATTGAAACAAACTTGTTAAAAAGTTAAAAAAGATTTCGGTAGTTACTAATCATTCATTTTGATTATTACATTTTGTAAAATATTCTGATATTGGTTTACGCATTTTATTAATTTTTATATCACATTTTCAATTTTAGAATCACTGCAAATCGTAGACGGTAGATCTGACAGTTTGTTCTACGCTACTTTCACAACACCTGAAATCTCCTTTGGCGGTAGTGCTGTTTGTGTATTTTCGTTAAATAATATCAATCAGGTATTTTATAAATACTTTTTGATCGAATGAACTCGATTGTGTTGGTTAGGATCGAATGAAACTGAAATAAATCAGTAATTGATCGTTTTATCATTTAGCAATTCAACGGATTTGACTGATGCAGAATTCACACTAATTTGACCCTCCCAAAATCAGTGCCGTATTGAAATAATATAAATATATATTTGTATTTATATGTATATTTTTATATTGTTATATTTATATGTTTATATGTATATAAGTATAAATGAATGTATTTGCATTTATTTATATGTATTTATATGTATGTGTTATATTTATGCGTATACTTACCATTTCGTATTTTTCGGTTTGCAGCTGTTCGACCATGGATATTTTTTGGAGCAAACTTCATCCGATAGTGGTTGGGTCGCTACGCCATCCAAAAATGTACCTGAATATCGTCCTGGAACGGTGAGTTTTTTTATTCAGTTGATTCCTCTTTAAATTTATTTCATGATTTTTTTTGCAAATTTTGAATTTTCTATTATTTTAGTGCACAACTAATTCAGCATCTGTCCCGGACAGTAGTTTACATTTTGCGCGATCTCATTTATTAATGGCAGATGCTGTCTCAGCTGATCTTCCACTGCTAATATTGCGTGATGAACTGCTAACATATATTGCTGTTGACACAATGGCAGATGTCAACGTTATCTTCGTTTATTCGCATAGGTTAGATTTTTTTTTGAAAATAATTGTTACTTGAAAATTTTAACTGAGCATGTTTATCGGTTTTCTAATCCGAGTAACACGTCAAGATGCTCAAATTACATTTCATAAAAAGAAGAAAATTTCATGGAAACAAAAATTTCGGCAAGAAATTGAGCTTCAGGCATCATATATTGTCTTTCAGTTCCCAAAGACTTCATAAAGTAGCACATTGGTTTGAAGAAGCAGAGGGGCACTCAAAATTGCTAGCCACATATGCTTTGAAAAATACTGGACCTATTTTCGCTATGACACTGCTGTCTGGCGAATTTGTCTATTTATCGAGTGAGGATAATGTTGCTCAATATTTCGTGGCCCAGTGTTCGCTTTACACTAGATGTACCCAATGTGCTGTTGATCCTTATTGTTCATGGAATACTGCTCGTGGATTATGCTATAAACGTGAACAAGCCCACTTGTCGGTTGATGGGTAAATTTTTACCGATCATTTTCTGTCAATTTTTCATTGGACTTTAAAAGTTATCATTTCTTTTTGAATTTGTTCTTACGCAAAATATTAAATTAACTTCCGAAATATGCATCTCGTCGACGACACTCTCTCGCTGATAGGTTTAGTTTTAAATAACATTCACTGGTAGAGGATGTTTCCATTGCTTTTTTCTTTATTTGGTAAGGAAGTTATGCTTTTTAAGGATAACTTCCTTTATGCAATAGAAATGGTTTTTCTTTGTTTACAAATATGTAAGTTAATTGAATTTTAGGTGGGTCAGTTCTAGTTCGAAAAATATTGACAAATGTCTAGAGCACGTAAAACGAATAACAATTGAAGCCCACGTTGGTGATACATTGCATCTCACGTGTATGGCTCAGTCAACATGGATCTTCAATACTAAACCAGTTTCACCGTCTCCAAAAAGACAGTTAACAACCGAAGGAGGACTCGTTGTTTTCAATGCGAGTGTTACTTAAATTGTAAACATATTCTTTCAAATTTAAATATTAGTTTCTAGAAATATTTTGTTTCATTATTTCTATGAAATAATCGTTCTTTTTGGCATTTTATATATCTTATTTTTTTAGGTTTCTGGGACGGACAGTGGTACCTATGAATGCATTATAGATAAAAAAACTGCTATGATATACAAAATTATGGTCGATGATGGTTAGCTATTTATTAGTGTACTTATCATTGCAGGCGGGACCGGTCGACATTGATAAGATAGCTTTTGTTTTTTTTCTTGCGGATTTAACTTTAATAATGTTAGGTTCTTCATTATAGCTGAATGCGCACAACCGACTAGTGTAGCTCAGTTCAAATCAAAGTACCGAGAATGGTGTCAAAAATTTGCCAAATACAAGTACTCTGCTGAAAGATGGCAGCTTTGGTATGACAGAAATGTAAGGATTTTTTAGTTTTAGAAATAAATTGACACTGTTTGGATAGTTATGATTAAATTAAAAGCAAAAAGATTTAGATTAAATGATCGTACCTTACTGAATCGAAACATCGATTTTTTTGTGGGTTCAATTTCATATTTGATTACCTAATAGTAAATAACTTCCGTGTCAATTTTTTTAAATCATTTAGTCTTATTAATTTAAAACGAAAATGTGAATGATTGTTTTTTCAGTTTTATTCGAAGAAGCTGTAAAAGAGCAGAGTGGAAATTTACTTTGGGGTTCATAGTTAATCCCAGAGTAAGTTTCAACTTCCATTATTTAATCCTGAAAAATTAATTCCAGGCAGAGAACTGTCCCAAGCAAAGATTCACCGATTTTAATCATATTACGATTGAATAATCATAACTGGATAGATCAATATACTTCTAAAGGTCAGTTTTTGTATATTTGAAGCCATTTGTCATTCCACTTATATTTGTGATCTCTACAGAGATGTCATGAAAGTCTGGAATTCTTTATTTAAATTAAAATTTCAAGATTATGGGAAGAACATCTCGTTTTGGTGCCAGATTAAGTTTAGCATATTCACTTTTTTAATGATTTTTATGCTTTCTCCTAATGAATACGATTAATTGATAAAATGTTAAGGAATAATAAATAATTTACTTTTGTGATTGATTTTTTATATACAAAAAAATATGTATATATATATTGTTGTTATAATATTTGTATATTCTTATTGTTTTGTCAATTTCTACATTTGACTTTTATACTGCCCAGCAGGTGCATTAAAATAAATAATTGAACCATTGATTTCACAATCCTCTCCTGGAACATGGATATATGGCTTTATTCAGGTATGGTTGACTCCCTATAGCAAATATTTCAGGTATTTCAGTATAGTTTTCTGCTTTGGACTGGTCTTTTTAAATAAATTCAATCTAATTGAGAAAGTTCATGTATTAAATTGAAATAGCTTGTTGGCTATAGAACAATTAATTAAAAGCAGTTAGTAAGCCAGGGTTTTTATTGAAAGCTTAGGTGCAATAATCATCCTTTTGGTGCTTTGTCCTTATGATGTACTTTTTGCGTGTACCAACACGCTAAAGAAATATATTTGAATAAACGTTTCAAATATTGAATAATCAAGGAGTGAAATGATCATCAAAAGGTTGCAGTGCGGTCAGATGCAATGGCGTTGTGACATCTGAGCTTAGTTCAATTTGTTTGGCTCATTCTGATTAAATGAGACAATTTTTTGCAAGATATATGGAAGAATTGCAAAGATTTTGCACTCAGCTGCTGCAGTTAATTAATTTATAAAAATTGTCAATTTTTAAATGACGTGGCGGAATTTTGAACCATGTGGAGATGATCTTGCTGAAAATGGTAACAATGATGGGAATCTTTTTATTATTTTTTTTCTAGTCATTTGATTGGGATTTATAATTCAAAATTGTTGAATCAAAAGTTCGACTGAAAATTAAAAAATGGGTTCACCAATATTCTAGAAATATCGATTTTTACTTAAATATTGAAATTACAAGCTTCTTTGTGATATACATAGCCACCAAAATGATAACAATTTCTACAGATCTAAAATTTTATTTTTTGCAATAGCTTTTACAAGTGGTCCTATAATAGCGTTGTGAAAATGTTTCCACAGAATTCTTTTTTTTAAAAACTAACAAAAATTAGACTGGTAGTCTCGACATTACTATACTCTCAGATGATTTTGACTTCGTCGAGGAACAACAACATTATTATCACGGACTTTTATCAACGTTTTAGTACTTTTATGATATTACTCAAACAATGTATCTATTACAAATTCACTTCTAAAAATAGATACAGCATTTTCTGAGCTTATTTAATGCTCCCGATTGATACAGCAGTATTATTCCTAGGTTAGTTACTTTCATCTAGAGGTGACATCTAGGGTAGAATTCAATACAATTGTAAATGTATAAGATTCAAGATATAAATATGTCATGGGACTTCTTTATTATTCATATTCATATCTGTCGTCATCGACAAATGTCCGCTCGCAGTTCATCACATCGTTGACAACTCAATCGACAATTTTCATCCATCCAAAACTGATTTTTATGGCACTCATCCTGAGTAGCCCATACCGGACAAAGTAAATGTCGGTCGGAACATTCTGCAATCAGACATTCACTTAATTCATTCTTTTTTAATCAAAATGATAACAATAAAATTTAAACTTAGATCACCGGAATGAGTGATATGAAGAATTTAATGAATGCGATAGTAGAAGGGAGAAGCAATAGAAGAAATAGGAAATTGAGAATAAAAACGATGTTTGAAGTTATGAAAATTGAAGCAATTAATCGCTTCGATGGTAAACAAATCACGATATATGAGCAAATGATTCAATGAAATATTTTAAAATAATAGCAATATTCACTGAGCAAAAATTCTGAACTGAATGAAACATTAACGGACGTATTGCAAAATTTAAAACGCAAAACAAAAAAATTGTTTGAACTAAAAGAATAGAGAAGGAAGTGAAAAGGGAATTCGGATAACAAACGGAGAGAATTAAAAGAGTTTTAAAAAGTGTCTAATTTTAAGATGGAATGAATTGGATGAATTTTAGCTTAAATTTAAAATGACGGAAAATTTCGATAGTTTTCTGTAGACAGTTTTCATAAATAATTAAATGGAAAGTGAATTGGAAAGATTACATCTGCAGTTGTTTGACTGCAGATATAATCTTTCCAATTCACTTTCCATTTTGAAAGCACTTAGCTTGATTTGCCAAACTGTTATCGGTAATGATTGTCGTCAATTAAATTAAATGCAAGAAAAGGTTGATGACTTATCTTTTTCAAATGTGCGACAATGAGGGATTTCTTAATTCTTTTATAATGTTATCATCTTTGGGAATTCTAGCAAATCATAGTTAATAGTATTCGTCAAACTGTTAATCTCTATTTATATCAGTCCAAGTTTATCATGCGATTTTTTTCAGAGACTTACTAATAAGCCATTAAAGGACTAGAAGAGATAGGTATGACGAAAGAAAAAATTTACCAGAAGCAATATTATATTGTGGGATACACTTATGACAGGACACAGGACACCAATCAACCATTACTTTCTCATTTGTTTTACATTCACCTTTATCGGCCCAAACTGAACAACATTCATGACTGTTATAACATTGCTCCTAAATGAAAGAATTAGCCGGTAAGGGATGCTTTAATCAATTAATCAAATAAAACAGTCAAAAAACCTGATAAATGTTTCTCATGAATTTAATAGATCGATAAATGCGAGATCAGTAGAATTTATAATCTCAACAATTGTTGTATAATTTTGCGCATGAAAATTTTTCAATTCAAAATTAAAGGAATTTATTTTATATCTTATCAGGTAAATCGAATATAAACGAAAAAAAAAGGAGTAAATTTTGCCTTCATAATGAACCTTTTCAATATTTGTTGTAATTATTGCTTCTGTAGGTTCAACAATTATGTCTTCTACACTTCTCGTTCGTTTTTTACCATTTTGATCTGCCTGAAATAAGAAAGAAAACGAAATTTATTTTGAGGTGAAATAGAAGAAAGGATAAAAGAATGAAAAAGATACTCTAATATTCTACAAAAATTAGTTATCTAATTGGAAGGAAAACATCAGCCACATTAAAAATGACCTCAAACTATCTTCACTTTCTGTTAAATTGAAAAATTTGAAATTAAAAAAATATTTCATCTTGCTTCTGAAGAACTGATGCGCTTCTCATACATCTTCCAGACAGACAAAAACCATTGTAGCACGGATTCTCCTGATGTGTATACCCGTCACAATTGCCGCTCAGACGTATTTTTGTGGAACATCGAGCGTATCCATGTGATAAATCACAGAATAGGAATCTGAATCCACGTTTTACTGCTTCCGTGCTCAGCTAAACTCTTGTTTGTTCATCAACTTGCTCTTTATAAAATGAATTTTACAAATTTCATCTCATTCACTATCACTAAACTCTTTAAATTTCATGACAGCTTATTAATTTTATGATTTTATAGAGCACTTTTCATTTTAACAATCTGTGAAATTAAATAAACCGTAACAAACTTTGAAACAAATTTCTTACTAAGGCTAATCTAAAATTGCTATATATATGAAGATGAATCGAATTAGTTGAAGAGCAGGGGTTGATGATCACTCACTCGCTTCCACACTCCTTATCTTGACCTCCATGGCATACAGGTCGTGGTGCATATCGATACAATCTTTCATTGTAATTATTGCTGATTCCGTCAATATTTCTCAGCGGTTCAAACGGTCGCATGAGATTTTGCGCAAAATGATTTTCACTACTACATTCCGGTAAATCTGGCGGATAACTTTTTGATCGTGCATCTCGATTCTTCAAAGTCGTGGAACAATTGTAATTTGTGTGCAGTGTGAATTAAAGATAAAAGAATTTTAGTTAGAATTAAATTTAAGTCTGAATGATTTAAATACTTGTCGATGTTGTCGCCAATATTCCCAAATGCTATCCACAAAAGCATGGTGGAGAAAGAATAAGGGATCATTTGCAGAGGTTGTTTGATGAAACATATCGCCACCGATCCAAACAAGCGCATTTGCATGGCTATATTCGAGTGATGTCCAATCCATTGCATATTTGCATCCCTGTATCTCTTCTTTTACTTACATTGTTAAATTTCTCGAAATCAATACATCATTTAAAGAAAAAATGATCGGTAATTTTAGCATAAAGATCGAAATTTTTTAAGTGTAATAATTATTTCTATAAAGCTAACAAATATTTGCCATTTTAGTTGATCAATTCTTGGCCATTTTTATACTACACCTATAGTAAACCAATATGCTGGTGGAAATTGGTATGCAGAAAGAACGTAAAATTTATTTTAAAATGAAATAAATTCTAATTATGATCAGTGGAGCAATTTGTGTAAAATTGAAAGATACAGAAAAAATAACCGATTGTGGAGCGGTGTATGCGAGTACACCGATTACATTCGAATGTCGCATCACTGCTTGAATATCATTTTCGTTCAAAGGACGTCCTTCCTGTCTAGGCAATCTCGTTATATGTCGTTCCTAAAAGATAACAAATGAATTAGTCTGTTCATACATATATATCATAATTAATCCATGACTTCTGCTTGTTAAACTAATATCTCTAGAGCTTACTAGAAAATTATACTGTCAAAAAAAATGTTAACACTAACCTCAGAAGCTGTCCAATGGGAGACGAAACCATTAATTATATTACCATTTTTATCATTCTCACCCATTAATTCCTTGCTAAATAATATTGTATCTGTGCTTTCTGGAATTGCATTTTCAAGAGTTGAATCCCAATATGGTAACGATATGTCCGGATCAATAAGTCGAAGAGCAATTTCTAATCTAAAATAAACTTTCTTTTAGTTTCAAATTTACCTTTTTATTTAATTCATAAAAAAAGAAATGAATGTTACAAGATATTATAGGAAATATTTAAATGAGCTAAATGAATCAAAGTATTATTTGCTTCTATCGTTAAACGAATAAAGTTTTAAGAATTAATAACTGTGAGAACCTTTTGATATATTCTCGATGCCAAGGTAAGAAAGCAGGCCCAGAATGTGCTCCACCACTTAGTTCAGGATTTGAATGCCATTGCGCAATTTCATCATAATAACCGCTTTGTTTCAACTGATTTAAAGCATTATGAAATCGTTCCCTTTCTTCTGCATTTAATTGTCGATATTCTTTACGAATAGCCAACGAAAGTTTCTTACCATTTGATAGGAAACATTCCAAATTTCTCAATGAACCTTCAAGTTAATTACTATACCTTTTGACTGATAATTCATTGTTTCAAATAATTATTAATAAAGAATTTGAAAATAATAGTTATTAACTGTATCACTATCAATATGAAGGAATATTATTTACTTAGAACAGCTGAAAATTAAGATTGACATCGGGAAGTCCGAAATTTTGTCTTCGTTAGATTTAAATTCTTGTCTTATAATTTCTTTTTTATTTATGTCGTTTATTATAAATTCTGGGTCAATGTTTACTATTATTATTGCACAGATATTCTTTTGTAAAGTTCCGCTATTGTATAACTCTCTGTTAATTGGGATCGTTTTTACGGACAACAACCATCAACAAATGACTGATTAAATATTAACATGATGCGACCTCTATGATGATAAGCCACAATAATTACTGTCATATAACTTTTTTCATTAGATGATTTGTTGCTTACTTTATCCTAAACAGCATTCAATCTCCGTCAAACTCGAAAGAAATAAAATCAGAGGAGAGAGATCAAGAGTTCGGAGTTTTCGAAAAGGTCGATCTCAAGAAGTGCCTTGTTTCAGTGTTTTATGTAAGTCTCAATAAAGGAATTATTTTGTTTCCCTCTCAACAACATCTGTTGTCAGCTTCCAACTGTTAACTCCTTACTGCTACAATTACATGAAGATGATTTCTTAATTTAACACCAAATTATCATGAAAAACTTCCTCAAACTTTCTGCAAAAATAATCTTTGCAACTTAATCTAAATCAATGTTTCACGATAAATCATTTGTAAATTAATGAATACCATTGAAAAATGGACATAAACAGTTGAGATCCATACATGCCAAAGCTTTCATTCGTCGATCAGTCGTCAAAATGCGCTGTGGCGGTGTTATCATATTTGCTTGCTAAAATAGAAAATGACTAAGATTGAAATATATGAATTATTTTTTTGGAAATAAGTTTATCACTTTTCTCTATGACAAGAAATTGTTACCAAATTTCGCACTGTAATCAATACTATTTTTTTTCTCTATTTCGGTTACTGTCATTATCATGTGATATGATAATATAAGTAAGAAAAAATTTCAAATATATTTGAAAAAGATGAATGATTTAACGTTGTATTATTTAACCATTACAATCACCAACATTTCTCTTAAACTGTCTGCTTCCTTGTGCTGTAATCGGAATTATCGATGGATCAGTGGATCGATTTGATATTCTAATTGATAATGGTTGTACAGATGAAATCACTGAGGATGAGGATGACGGCGTCGTGGATTGTTTACGAATCAAATTACTAGGTCGTTGTTGACCTGGCGGACCAACTGTGTCCTGTTCCATTCTATACAAATCCTTTTTAATGGTATCAGTTAAGGGTGGCCTTTGTACTCCATTCTTGTCATTATTCTTCAACATTTGCTGTCGTTGATTAAATTTTGGTGATAATGATAATAACGAAATGGTACGTGGAGAATGTGTGTTCACATTGGTCATTTGTCCAGTTCGCGTACGGATTGGCCCAGTTTGTTCTGGAATTAAAAATTTTTTCATTATATACATATATATTACATATATACATAAAAAGTTTGAAGGGAAAAGTATATATGCAAATATTAATATAGTAGATATATGTGTTAGATTTTTTTCCACTTTTTTTAAAAGAATGATTTCATTTGAGAATTTTAGAATGTAAATTTAATCTTGAACTATGATTTGAAAAGTCACTGAAGATGACAAAAACCTTATTGTAACGACTGTGAAATATAATATTATGGCAGCAAACGTTATCATTTTATTATTTCTCATAAAATAAAAAAAATTTTAGAAATGATACTTACTAGGAAGGGAAGAAATTTCATATTGTATTTCGAGTGCCATTCGTTTCGGTTCTTTTGAGTTGTATGTATTAGCTGTGAAATTACTTTTTAGTGCAGCAGGTAAGTTAGCATAATGGCTTATAATGAAAGGCGATTTATCACGGATTTGTATTGGAGAGTATTGTACTCCTTGTGATGGTATGGTACGAGTTGAAGACCACGAGGACCAACTAGTCCAATTTTGAAAGGTATTTGTCCATCTGGATCGACTAGTAGACCAGATTGTTTGTGAATTCCAAGATGATCGTGAATCATTCATTGAAGTAGAATGATGTTGCTAAAAGTGCTTCATTTTGAATGTAAAACTGAAATGCTCATTTTCATTTATAACTTATAGAATAACTACCAGCTCTCATGTCATCATAATACACCAAAATTACTTGCGCAGAATTTCCAGAAATATACGAAATAAACGGTTTCATTTAATCCATCCTTTTAATATCAGTTGTTTTGGCTGCTTCATTTATACTATTTATAGTCGGAGTTCATTTGAATGAAAGTTCCTTTTTCTTTTTTTTAGAAGGCTAACAACGAATGGAAAAAAGTTTTTAATTGATAATAGAAGTAGAAAAATGAAATTAAATTAAAAGTTCATCAAAGAGCTAACCAACCCTAACAGCTGTATCCCATTTCTTTAATTCTGAGCAGACAATTTGAAGCGCTGAATTAGGCGCTCGATCACAAAATGTAAGACGAACCGTATATTGAATACCAGTGGAGTATTCTAATAATGTAAATACAGTAATTAGCAATGGTATATGCATGTGGGCAGCAGGGACTGTAAAATAGCTGAAATGTTACCGAACACATTCAACTTTATTCCATTCTACACGATGGTGACGGAAGATGCTATTAAGAAAATATATACGCTTGCTTATCTTTCGTATAACCATTTCTAATAAAATTTGATTTGAACGTATGAGCATAGAATCTTTTTTAATAAATCTTTAAATATCCAAAGTACTGTAGATAAATTATATCGAAGAAATAGTACATCGAATTTTGCTAATTGGTAAAGATTTCTCTACGACATGAATAGATAGCCAATAATTCCTTGTTAAATTGCTTCAGTGAATATCAATTTAATTCAAACCGAAAGTTTCTTAATCTCAAATGCTATAATATTATTTTAGTGATTGAACTCATTTTAATGGAATCTTTTCATCGAAATTTAAATAATTTCTTTTTTCATCCAGCAAGCTGTGACGAGGTTTGGTAATTTAACAATGGATTATGGAAGAAAGGAAGGAAGAGATGGCGCTGCTTTAAATTTGACAAAAAATTTTTTTTGGACTTTCACTACGTCGATGCTCTAAAGGTACGTTTCAATGAAATTTTCGAATGCGTCATTAAAACAAGAATGTATGTGTCGTCGAATAACTTTCGTGGATGAAAATGAGAGAGAAAATTTTGAATGTTAATAATGACAGCTTCGAGGAAGAATAATTTCTTTAAGTGATAATTGATAAGAATGATAGGGCAATATGAGAGGTTGCATACTATTTATTGGTTTAATTATGAAATAATGGTTTATTAATCATCATCAGTTAACATTGATAAGTTGATAACAACATGGTTATTTATTCTGCAACTCCCAGTACATTTTATCATAATAGCTTGTTTGTATTTCAAAGTTTTCGCTTTCAAAAATTTTCACGGGGAAAGTTTCGAGATTTATTGCAGGAAATGTCTTCACTATTAATTGATATTTTGACATAAAGCTTTAAAAAGTGAAATTTTGACATAGTTTTAAAGCTAATAAAAAGATGACAAATGGAAGTAATTTGAGATTTTGTCTCATTTTTTTAGAAGTTAACTATGTGAAGTAGAAACTTAGTTTAAAATTTTAAACTTTTTCTACTTTACGCAGTTAACACTTCAACTTTATGATAAAAACATTAAAATAGCAACTATTCAGATAATTGAGTTTGTGGATGGAAAGGTTGCGCAATAAATTTTAACTACAAATTTATTGTTCATCTTTTCCTTTTAGTACATCAATGGAGTACAATCATTTTCTTTTTTACCACAAATTACAACAAATTTCACGTTCCAAAAATTTCATATTTTAAAAATTGACAGTTGTTTAATTGTAAAGTGAGTAGAACTGGTCATCATTCCTGGAGCTATTAAACTCAGGTAAAATGTTTACTAATGAGAAGCAACAATACAACCTAATAAAAGTTTTATTAAAGACGCTTTAAAAAAATGAATTAAAGAAAAATAGTTTATCCTTCAAATATTGGTTAATTCATTGTAAAATTCGAGATTCTTAGCATTAATTAAAATTGCACAATTTTTTAAACTGTTTTCTCATTTGAGGATTTGCTGATTTCAGAGAGATGTTTCACTTAAGAATGCTTAATTAACGATTTAATTAAAAAACGACATTTGTTTTAGATTATAAATACGTTTCTAACTTTAAAATCGATATTAAAAAAAATTCCTAATTAATTAGATTACCAAAGTAACAATGATTTATCTTATCATTTTTTCTCAAAATATTCGTCCTATTACTCATTTGTTGCAATCGTGTCGTTTGTGAAATCTTTGAGAGAAGAAATAAATTTTCAAAATTTTTATTATTTCCAAAAAAATGAATTAAATAATCAACTAATCGACCAATCTTTCATTTTTATTCATATTCAATATTAATCATCTATTTCAGTTTTGTTTAAATTTTCCTAAAAAAAAACATTAATTCATTAATTGTACTTTTTAAAAAAACAAAACAAATTTATTTCTCTTTTTTACTGTAAATGATGAAAAAATTCATTTGCGCTACTTAATTGCACTAAGCTTTTTCATTTACAACTGTAGAATTATGCAAAATTGTAGGTGGAAATGAATGGATGAAGTGTAATGAATAGGAAATAACTTAAGATCGGTGCTGATATAACGGAAGATCGAGAAAAGCGGGTTTAACTTCTTTTTTAAAGGTAGAGATAGGCATAAAATTATGAGGAGCATTTTTTATTCTAAGATATGGAACAGGAAATCTTGTGAATTTCGATCTTTGTAAGCTTGAACTAAGAAAAAAAGAGCTAACTAATTCTGTTACTGTGATATGTTGAGAATACTTCGAAATGAAGTGATCGGGAGGAAGCAAAAATAGATGTTGGATATTTCTACAAAATTGAAAATACTGTCAGCTTCGTTTTATTTAGCAAGAAATATGTGTCATATTTTGAAATTAAACTTTTTTAGGAATAATTCAAAACAGAGCTAAAAAATAAGATGGAAATCTCAAAGCAGTCATTTTCAATCATTGTTGTTATCCCAGCTTTTAGCAAGCCTCAGAAATATTTTATAAAACAAAAGGGATAGGAGAGTGGAAGGGAAAGCCATTTGATTATGCGATAATAAAAATTGAAGAGTTCATCATGCGATAAGAGAAATGAGAATGAAAGGTTGGAGAAGGGTAGGGAAGGAATAAGATTTTGAGGAAAGAGGAGAAGGAATAGGATTTCTTCTTCTTCATCATTTTCTCAAGCCTTGAAGAGGTGATTCATTGCTTTTAACAATTGCTTCAATTATTTTTCATTATTGCTTCACATATAAATGCTTTCAATCATCACAACAGCAATGACAATATATATATATATATTTCTCTTTTGATTGTTTCATATTAATTAAAATTATAAACAATAATTTAACTGTTCTTAATTAATTCAACTCCAAAATATAACTATTACAAACGGCAAGTTATAAGCAATAGAAAAGATCGTCCGGTTTATTTGCAATTAACAAATGTTGCAAAATTTTCCAGATGTAATCATTTCAAAGAAACTTTAAATGCAAAATTATCAACAAAAAAAGTCTATTTATTTATTTCCTTTAAAAACCACACAAAAATATTTTTAACTTTTTTAACTTTAAAATATAAGACCGAGAATTATTATTTATTTAAGACCAATTGATGAAGATAACAACATTACATATATACTGATTGATGTAAAGAAATTTGAAAAATTTCCTAAAACTTATTTGAAAATAAAAAGTCAACCAGCTTTTTCATTTGCTTCTCTTTTAGGTTATAAAATTTTCGATTTCTGATTGAATATTGAAATAATTTTATGTTTGCTTGTTTCAGAGAAGACAAAAGGGAGATATTTGCACATAAAAGAGCTAACCGAGCAAAATTAAATAAAATGAGCAGAATTTTCTGGAAAAAACAGAAATAAAGGATCATTTTCTTCCTGAAATTATCACCATAAAATTATCACCATAAGAAATATCATAAAAAGATATCATAAATATATTTGTATTAAACTATAAATTTCATGAAAATATTCCATCAAGCGTAAAATTTATGCGCGAATGCAAATTGTGAGAAGTGCGTCACCGCGGACATTTCATGTTTAAACAGGACACATTTGAAAAGATACTTAATATTTGCACTTTTGAGAAGTGTGATAAATTTTTTTTCTTTTCATTTGAAGGTTATACTAAGACTAAACATCAATCATTAATCTTTTGGATAATTATAACACCTTTACCTTTGTATTATTACATTTGAGATATGCTAATAATATTTGCCAAATTTTTTCATTTTTTGAGCTCCATAATGATGTGAATGATTAATTAGTGCTCTCATTAATGTTTATCAAAATTCAACTCTAAAATTTTTTATATTTTATTTATTTTTCTTCCCTATACCATACCCCGACATTCAATTTGACAGTTATTTAATTGATCTTCCAGTCAATCATTTCATTTATAAACACGAAATTTATGAAAAATGAAATGTACCAAATAAGAGAATAAATGGAAGTATGAGCATTGATGGTTGATTGTTTGATTTGAAAATTAAAAAAATTTGATGAGAAACAAAGAAGTAATTGTTGTCGCTCAATTTCGTCGCTTTTTTTTGCCTCGTTCTCGTTTTCTCTCATAACGCCTTCAAATATTAATGAGTGCTTTTATGGCATTCATAATTATATTCGATGATAATTACAAATTTAAAGAATAAATTTCAGTTTGAAAATTGAAGTACGTTTCATATAAAAAAATGAACGTTAAAAACAAGACTTGAAGCTAAAAGTTTTATTTTAATTTTGATTTTTTAAACAGATATTATATATAGAAGAGACGTATATTACACTATACGTATATATCATAAGTTGAATGAAACTATTTTATCACTGCTTGTAATCAGATAAATAACATTTCTTTGAGTTACACACCTGTAACTTTGATGAAGCTAAAATTATCAAAATTTTGCCCACATTGCTTTTTTTGTCTGCTATTATAATTCGCCAATCTTCTTTGTTCATTATAACTGTCAACTTTTTGGCTTTTAATTTCTAATATTCTTTTTAGATTTAAAAAATTCTCAATAATAGCCTTCTGCAGATAAAAAAACAATTCCAATTTTTTTAAACAAATTGAGATAAAATATTATATGAAAAAAAATGATTGAACTTTGAGCCAAAATTTTTAAGTTACAAATCATCTTCTGAAATTAATAATGCTTGTTCCCTAATTGGATAGAATGACCATAAACTCAGTAGCCAAGAATTAATATTTGGCAACTGCAGCTATAAAATTTGAATACAGAGATTGATAACTTGCTGATCGATAATTAGTACTGACCAGTTACTTTTACCTATTGGTATGATTTAAGCCGAACAAATAAAATCTATGGTTAAAGTTAAATAGTTGAAAATTCTGAATTTTGAAAATAATATTTGCAATTCACTGCTCAGTTATGCATTAATTTTTGTGTCGTTTTTTTCATACTTGAAAGAATTTAAAATTCTGCGAATTTTTTTCTCTAAAAATTTGCCATACTATTAATTCTTCAAACTTTGCTCTGCAAAAAATTGGAAAAAGTCGCTAAAGTAATGAATGTTCCGGTAAAAATTTTGCGTGACTTTAAAATTTAAAACAAAATTTTGTGCTAATATTTCTGAAACTATAAAAAAGATAAACTGAAGCCGTTCACCTATTGTCTAATTAAAATCTTTCTGAATAAATTGTAATGCATAGAACAGGTAGCTCAAAGTTAATTAAGATCATATTTATAAGATACATATAATTTAGCCACCAACTGGGGAAATGTTTAAAAAAATTTTACAAAAACTATTTCATATCACGTTTCATTGGAAATTGCTACAAATTTCAAAAGTGATGCCACTCGGAGTACTGATTAAAATAGCCATTGCAAGAACTTTGCGTGTCGGTAGCCACTAATTTATCTCATAATTATTTCTCATTTTAGAACCCATTCAGAAAACCTTAGATTGAGGACTGGAAATGTTCCGAAATAATTAATCTATTTTAATTCAGCAATCTGAATCAAACATTTATAACTTTGCTACCATTAAATTCATCGCAAATATTTTACAAAAAAGTAAATAATACACATTTTATTGGTAAAACGAGACATATTCATAATATATCATAATAAAAATCATCGATCACAGGTGGGACAAGATTTGGCGCATGACTGAAAGTTAAATCTAAATTAATACGACATCTTTGACGTAATTGCCACTGATCTAGGCATGAGCGACATGAACGCCGACAATTTTCCAACATCCAAGCATTTGTATTACATTCACCACGTGAGGCCCATTCAGGACAACTACGATGATAATCATTACACGCTGAAAAACAACGTTATATTCACGTAACATCGTGCCATCATACTTTGCAATATCTGAAGAGCAAATTCACTTCTTTTTAAGCATGCCGAATTATTTGAGAAAATTTGGCTAAATTTGAAGAAGTGAAATTTTTGAAATTTCAAAAAGTATTACATATCAATCAAATCATTTTTCTGAACTTCTAAAAAAAAGTGAATCGAAGTTTTGCTTTTTTTGGTACTCAATTTTTTTAGTCACTAATTCCTCTTGGAATTTGATTTTATTACAATTAACAATCAATTTAATAAAGTTTATAAGCGCTTCCATTCTATGTAAGTAAAGGTCGATAAAAACCATTTTCAAGTATTGGTTACGGTGTAGAATTTAGACATTGTCTATGGAACTATTTTAAAGTAATTAAACGTAGTAGAACTTACTTCCATAATCATAATCAGCTGGAATACATAGGCCACAACTAACTTTGCAATTACATGCTATCCAAGTGAAATTTCGAGAGCACTGTCCTTGTAGACCCCATAATGGACAGCAGACATTCTCATTGTAACATCCCGGTGAATTGCAATGGAGAAGATTTATTTTCTCAGATTGTGGTCGAGGTGTCACTATCACTGACGATAATTAACTAAGCAAGCAAGTAAGCAAATCAGGTTTTCTTTCAGATTTAAATTTTCTTCCACGCAATTTTATACGTAATTTTCGAAATGTAAATAGAAAGAAAGGTTGTACAAATTAGCACAAATAATGAAGAAATTTAATGTTTAAATAAAAAAATCAAACAAGGAGTCAAACTGACGTTGAAGATTTTTCAAACAAATTTTCGGCCTTTTAAAAATTTCAAAAAATAAAATTTTAGAAAAAAGCTGCTCAAAAATATTTACCATCACGGCGCTCACCACTGCAAACTTGTGTCCTCGTTCGATCACAATGATGACAACTCTGTCGACAATTCTCCCTCATCCATTTAGCATTCCTTTTACATTCACCGCTTCTTGCCCATCGTTCACAATTCTCATGATGATTTGAGCATTCTTTAATTTAAGCTTAATAATTTGACAATTTAATTCGATTATAAAGCCAATTTATTTGCAGTGTCATTGTTAAAAAGGATTGATGAAATTATTTTATTTTCCAATATTTTTGAATAAAAATCGGATCAGTCAAGCTTTAAAGTTTCCAATGGCAATATCTAATAAATTTGCAATATTTTATGAATTGACTGTCATGATCAATATAGAACTATGCAATTCAAGCAGTTTTAACTGAAGCCATTTGCGTAAGAAATATTAAAAATTTGGTTTATTATGGTTTGATAATAGGTTAACAAAATGATAATTTACCCCGAAAAGTTAAGAATTTAATGGAAAAATTTTTTTGAAAGATCATGAAAAACTAACCAGTGTTGGGATTGAAATTAGGCTGACAAATTCGACATGCAACTTTACACCATTCGTGCATGTAACCTCTGTTCCGATTGCATTCACCTCGCTGGGCCCAAAACTGACAGCATTCATTTTCGTTGTAGCAATTAGCATTTATTGATACAACCGCTGTTTGTTTCACTGGCACTTGTATGGGCGGTGGTGTAATTGGTAGAATCTGAAATGCTTGATCATACATTGCGCTTAATTATAAATGAAAAAATGTTTGAGATTTATAAAAGTAATAAAAATTGCTATGGAAATTTTTGGAGTAATAAAATTTAGTAAATTAGCAAATAATAAAATATAATTTTGTATTCTAATATATAAATATAGTGAAAACTTTTACAAACAATTAACAAATTTGAACATACCGAAGAGGAAGGTGTGGTAACACATCGTCCATTGACACATATTCCATTATGACATACCTGTTCACCGTTCACAAATCCAAAACAGTGTCCACCGATTCGAGCCTGTGACACGCAATGAGGTTGTCCGTGTGATCGATCGCAAAACAGATACCTAATCGTAAAAAGCTCAGAAATATTTTCTTCCATTAGAAACAGTCAAACTAAATCTTGAGTATTTTATAGTAAATTATATTTTAGGTTTCAAATATTAAAGTAGTAAAACCATCTCTTGTTTCTTATTACAAATACTCAATAGTCGTTTTCCATACCATTAAACAAATTCTTCTTTAATTACGAATAATGATAACTTTAATTAGAACGGATGCTGTAATTGGAATGGAATTTTTTTATTTTTAACAATTATGGTCTTGCTTACTTCGATCCACAAGTTGGTCCACTTCGACATGTTGGCCGTGGTGCATATTCATATAGATTGTCGGTATAAGCATTGCTCAAACCATCAATATTTCGTAATGGTGTGAAGGGTCTCATTAAAGTGGAACCGAAATGTAATGCGCTGCTGCATGCCTGATTGTCAGGTGAGTAATCATTTTCACGTTGATATCGTGTCTGGAAAGTAATCATTTATATTTCCGTTCTAACAATTTTCTTTTTTTCTTTTTCAAAAATATTAGACAAAGTTGAAATAGAATCGAAATTAAAAAAAATTCTTTTCAAAGTTTTAGAATTTAAAATTAAAATAATTACACCTGTTTTTGTTGCCGATACATTTCCCATATATAATCGACAAATGAATGGTGCAGGTAGAATAACGGATCGTTTCCGGATGTATACGGATCGTACATATCACCGCCCACAAAGATGTGAACATTACCGTGTGTGTATTCCAAGGCGTTGTAATTGGCACGATATTGACAACCCTTTAACGAAATGATGCTTATTAATAATTTCTGATATGAATTAACTTCCACGTGTTATCTATTACAAGTGTTTATTGATCATGACCGGAAGGGTAGCTATTTCCTTTACGGTATAACTTTTTGAAATTCATCAAATTAGCAGTAAACTTTAAAAACTACTAGATATATGTGCGTATATAAAAACTGTAGCAAGAATGCTTTCAAAAATAATACCTGTCTGGGAGCAGTAAATGCAAGAACATTTTCCATTCGATTTTGTTGCAGGAACCAATTCAAATCTGATTGCTTGAAGGGCGATCCTTGTTTTCCAACTTCACGTTTTATGTTCGGATGTTTCTATTTTTTAATTTTATATTTCAAATTCAGAATTGAATTAAACGACATTAAATGGGAAAAAATATCGCTTATCATTAAGTTTCTGTCTAATTCAGTTAATCACATATGTTATTCCGTTATTTTGTAGAATTCCAAATGATGAAACAAAATTAAAAATTGTATAAAAATAAGTTTGCACCTCAAATGTGACGAAGTTAGCAAAATCTCCTCCAGTTACATCTCCGTTCGCATTGGTTTTACCCATCAATTCGTTTGTCCACAGCACTGAATCTTGTGGATTCGGTAAACCACTATCCAGAACTGAATCCCAATACGGGATGGAAACGATGGGATCAATTTGTCGAAGAGCAATCTCAAATCTTTGCAAACAAAAGGAAATATTCGTTAATTTAAAAGAAGAAATGATTTGAAGGGGAAAAAACTGAAGCAAACATTAAACAGATGCCGAAGTAATAAAATTAGGAGTACCTTTTGATGAATTCCCGATGCCACGGAAGAAAGGCAGGTCCAGAATGCGCACCGCCGCTAACTGCTGCACGGCCATGAATCAGCGCCAATTTATCATATTCACCAGAACGTTTAAGTTGTATTAAAGCATTGTGAAATCTTTTCCGCTCCTCATCAGTTAGCATGCGGTACTCCTTCCTGATGGCTTTTGTTAGTCGTGAGCCATTCGGTAAATAGCATATTCCACCTGCTTGTGTTCTACCTGTTGTTATAGTTATCAGTGAGTAGTAATTGGAAGATGCATATTTCTTAATTTAATTCACAAACTAGTTATTTGCATTAAAATAGTTATGTATTAATTCAAATTTAACAAAATTTTATTTCGCGATGAAGCGTATTATTTTTAATCAATGAAAGGGGATTGACAAAAATATGCGAATTTTTTAATTTTATTAGAGTTTAAACTGCAAATAATACATGCTACATATAATTGATGAAAATATAATAACTGCAAACAAAATTAATTTAGAAACAGAGTAATATCTAAAAATGATAAGCTTATGATTAGGACCGAAAAATAAAATGTACCAAAAATGGCACTTAAATTTAGCGAAAGTATACTTAAAATTGTCAAGTTGAGTAAATTTCTTAGTTTGCTTAAGCAACGTGATGTACGTGTTGTCATGAGGAATGTTTTACAGAATTGATGAAAGCATGGTTGCAAAATGAACCGCTTACAACATATATACATATTTTTTCAATTTTCTTAAAATAATTTAAAACTTTAAAAACAATGTTCTCGTGTTTTAACTCTTTTTTTTCAGGAAATTCTTTCCATCTTTTCTCATTATAAATCTTTGGCTCTTTTGCAAGAGAATAAATATTTAACATTTCTCTTTCGACGTCAAGCATTTCTATCTTTTCAATGTCAATTTCCATATTTTCTATGGTTTTTTTTATTGCAAGATCAATAATGAGTGACAGTTAAATTTACTCCTGCTAAGTTTTTTTTAACCTATTAAATTTTGACTAAAAAAATTTTAGAATTATGAATTTTTGTAGAGTTTCGCAATCTTATATTTTTAGACTGAATATTGTCATCTCGTTATTATGCTTATTTTAAATGATGAGATTATGGCAATGTAACAGCTGAAAAATTATAAAATTCGGTGCTTTTTTTCTTATCATTGAAGAGTCAGCCACAGCAATCACCTGTCACTTCATTTTTTCACCTGATACCTTCTCCTCAAGTAATACTTTATCTTCACCTGAAGAAATACGTTAACACAAACAAAAGGAATGTAACAATTTTGCAAAGTTATGAAGTCATCCAAGTGATGAGTAATTTTTTAATTGTAATGAAAAAATTTGAGAAATGAAACAGTTACTCACCTCTTAAATATATACAGAGACATTCGAGATCCATGCACTGATAAGGAGTGGAAGTAATAGGCGCAAGCTCTGCAGCAATTGTTCGACTTCTTCCTGGGATTGCAGGTGGCAACACCGCAGATGATCCCACTGGTGGTTTTGCCTACAGTTCGTGGATTGCCATTTTTTGAAAAATCATTTACTATATTCAATTATAAGAAATTCAAATTCTCTATATAAATTTTTATGCTTTTTGAAAAGTTCAAATTTACCCGAGCTTGTCTATCCCATTCATGTAATTGATTGCAAATTACTTGTGCAGAAGCTGATGGTGCATCAGCGCAAGGATTCAGAAATTCTTGAGCTAAATCTGCTGGGATACCATAAAGTAGAATGGAACAGGATATGAATAATAAGAGCATTTCTTCTTCTCAGATCTCAGTCGGAGTGTATTATTCTCCGGGAGAAGAAAAGAGAATTTGCTTTCTGACTGAAATATTGCGGGCTATGAATGTTTAATTTTATTTGCTTTCAGAAATGAAAATATCAACTCCTGACGATAAGCTCGACACTTCAGAGATGCTATTTTCAGATCGTCTATAAGAGTTATTTCAGTCAGAAAAGCGTCTTTGTCACGGACAAAAAATCAAATGATTTAATCACTAGAAATTCCAAAGTTACTGACGCATAATGTACTTGCGGGAAAGAATGAGTGTCGAAGGTGGGGTGTGTCTCCTTTAGACTTTTTGGAGGTGTAGTAATGACAGCACGACAAGTTCCGCGGTATTGGCTGTTTTGAGTCGATAGAAGTAAATGAGGATGGCATTTTGATTGCAATCATTTGATAGAAAAACTTTCGAGTGGTTTCTCTTTCATGCAGGACAGCTCGATTGCTTCTTCGAGCGCTCTTTCATTTCTCACTGCAATCATTTTCATTTCATTATTTTTACGTCCTATCAAAATCAAACAGGGTCGATGCCAATCTCACCGTTGGAAATGCAATACCTCTATCAAATGTCTTTTCCGCCTCATCTTCAAACAACACTGCAAACACCGTAATAAAAGCCGAGAAACTATTTTGTCCAAATTAGCCCACGGAAACATGATATATTACAATAATAGTACATCTTAGCTAACAACATAAGGTAAGATCGAAAATAATCTTAATAGAAATTCATATTAACCCTCAGACTAATTATTTTTTGCCTTATTTGTTCTTGACGTATTTTTGTTTTAGAAGAAAAAAAGAAAATAGTTTACTAAAATTTTTTATCGACAAAAGTTATTAATGAAACCTCATTATGAATTTCATTCTTATGCTGTATGCTTCAATTTCGCTTTAGTGAATAATAAAAAGACAGTCTGTCACTGTGAGACATATCCATGTTAAATAATATCATTTTATTTTAGTAAAAACATACATTTACAACACATATTTATGTAAAATTTAACAATTATATAAAAACAATTTCTCTTCTTAAAGTTATTTTACCCGCTTAAAAATAAAATGCACAAATTGAAAAAATATAATGCAATTAAATAGGAAACCTGAAAAGGATTATTGGTTATATGAAAATAATATCCAGAAAGAAATGCGTAAAATGCAAAAAGAATCGAAAATCTTTTTGTTAATTGAAGAGTCATCCTCTGGAAGGAATTTTTCTCAAATTTCTTGCTTTTTCTCGAAACTATTTCTTCATCATTTTATTTGTTTTTCAAATGACACTAATCCAATATGTTTTTCACTAGTTCTCATTATCGATAATTTTTGCTTTTTAAGATTTAACACATCATGCATTCTTTAAGTTGCAGCTTTGCAACACCACTTCGAATACGTGCACTGTCAATTGTTTCCAGGAATTGTTTGCAATTAAATGCCAAACGATGACTTATTTTCAGTACCTCTCTTCTTAATGTTTCATAAGTATCCTGAAATCTCAGTGTATCGAGTTCATGAACGATATCAGAAACCACAAATAAACAGGAACTACTTTATTAAATCAAAAAATGTAAAATGTCAACGATATTAGAAAAGGGATCATATTTCTCAAAGTACAGTAAATCAATTATATAGTAACTTTAAAATCTACCTTACTTATATCTTCTTCCAAAATTTTTTTCATAGTTTCCGATAGGTTACGTAAGTCTGATTCCAAAAGTGTCTTAACCAGTTTTACATCCTGCTGATCAGAAGTATTTAAAATTGATATGTGCTGGATGGATTCATTAAATAAATTTCCCAAATGATCGATGATAATCTGTAAGATACTTTTCAAATAATTTATATAAATTTGGTAAGCAAGAGGGTAAATATTAATTCATCTATTTGTTGTTTACGGTACCGAATGAATTCATTTTTCGACAGTTCCATTAATAAAATTTAATTCAATTTTGTAACCAAAAAGTTGCTAATAACTTACACACAATACCGGTTACGAAATGTAATGATGTGCTATGGATGCAAATAATATAAACATAATTATGAATGTTAGATTATTAAATTCTTATTCTACTTGAACATATGAATGTGACATAGAGAGTGGGGAGTTTTGTAGAATTGAACATACTTTAACACATTCGCTGAAATGTCCATTTGTCATCGTTGAATGAAATTCCTTAGATAAATTTGTTACTGCACCAATCACTCTAAAAACAGCTCCATGCACCGTATCACTGTGGCGGTCGAATTCATAACCTGGTGGTATATTCTTTTCTTCGCTTAGCAACGGCTCTTTTTTGGATAGTGAATTAATATAATGCGCTCGAACTGTTGAAAGTGCTGGCAATGGTAACTGTAAAATTTTTTTTAAACTATATTTTAAGAAATCTTTGGATAATTTAAATATAAATGAATTTCGTTTATTTGATGTTGACAACGACTGTGTTTGAGATTCCTCAGTGTTTTATTAAAATGAACGCTATGAATGATTTGTTGATTGGAGTACTTCCAATTTTTCTTATTGTTATTTATTTATGGCTAATGTTCTGAAATTTGTGGTGCTAGTCATAGATTTGTGCCTCTTATTTTGGAGTTAATATTTTTGTAGTGACTAAAATAAATGTTGATAAAAGAGGGTTATCCCTTTCTAAATCATAAAAAGAATATTTCTTTTTATGATCTAGAAAGATCAAGTAACGAAAACAAAAGAGAGCCACCTAAAACAGAAACAAACAACACCAACAAAAAAGAAGTCAAATAAGAATCCAAATAAACACGTGAACTAAAGTAAGAGCAATAAGTATAATAGCTACTATAAAATTAATATCACACAATAAAGAACCTCCCCGACAATATGTGAATCCAAAATTATCTACCTAAAGGTTGCCCTCAATACTAAGTGAAGGATAAAAAATTTAACTGCTATCACTACAACTATATTCAAAAAGTCCCCATCACTTTTGAAAGATGAAGTGGAAAAAATTTAACAAAAAATAATTTAAAAAATTTTATTTTATTAAAACTTCCATCATCATTGCATCCTACTTCAAAAAGCATGCTGATGTGACTGTACATCTTGAAAAAGACTTATAACCTTGCCATTAAGTACGAGATACCAACGATTGGTTTTGTTAACCCAAGCCAAAGATAAGAGGGATACCTTGCTGTTAACCAGCAAATGTTGCTCATAATGTATGACGTAGATTATGTTCAAAGATGTAGAATATGTTGTTGTTTTCCTTGTTTTTTTTAAATTTAGATATCGGACATTCGAACGTTCTGAGTTTTTAAAAGTTTTCCTAAAGAAATTACAAATTTTTCTTCTTCCTCTTCAAGCCATCTATCATCTTCCTCCGACTGAATTCTTTGTTGCTCCAATGTGCGCCGCAACGTTGATGTCGGCACTGCTGCAGAATCCACTTTTAATACTGGTGCTACCTAGATAAGATAAAAAAACGATAAAAATCTATTAATAATGAAAAATGTAATCAAAAAATATTTCTATTGCCGATTTTCACATCTGGCCCATTTTAGAAATATTTAAAAACGAAAAGAAATACCGTTAAAAAACCATTTGTTTGGCTTTCTTCTTGAATTAACGCACTGATTTCCAGCAAATTGATAACGGAAATATCACTTAAATTTGTACGAATAAGAGAAGTAAAAAATGTAGCAGTAGAAACCTACATTATCTGACGGTGGTGCAAGTGATCCGAAGGGAACATGGCAATCAATTTGATCTAGCAGAAAACCAAGATAACGATTAACTTCAAACATTGTTGGTCTTCTTGAAGCCTCAAAATTCCACATACGCCTGAAAAAGAATATTTCAAAATTATTGAGGCATTCAGATGAAAAATTTGAATTAGAATTAAAACAAACTAGGGGTGAAAAACTTTGTCCTTAAGCAAAACAAAACTCACAGTAATAAATCGTGAAGAACTTGCGGGCAATTATTAGGCCTTTTAAGTCGTTCACCACTCTCAATTTTCAATATAACGTTATGATTCCGGACACCTTGCCATGGTTTCACACCATACGTAAGTATTTCCCACATGCAAACACCTGTAACTTCTTATAGATATTGAAAGTTAAAATTATGACAAGTCAAAGAATGATGCAAAATACAATTCACCATAATGTCCCCATTTCTGATAAAACAACTGGCTTCAAGTTCTCGCGAAAATGCTGAAGAAATATACCCTGGGAAATCTATTCCCACATTGAAAGACCAGATATATTAAAAGATAAACCAACATGACTTAAATTTTTTTTCCTTAATTCGCGTTAAAACTGATATAGATGAAAAAAGAAGTCAAACAAAACAAAAAAAAGAAAAAACTTTCTTTCTCCCTTTAACTACTAGGTGCTTCGCAATGCTAAAAAATTGATCCTTAAAATTTCAAATTGATAACATTTCCATTTCCAAGTTCTAAATAACCAATAACAAAGCTTTTTGCTTTGAAAACAAGATCAAACAAGAGTTTCAGTAATGACAAGTTTTTAATTAAGAAATAAGGAAGCTAATCCAAACCGAACATCCAAACATCGGTCGCCTTACTGAAACAGCGGTAATTAATTGATTCTGGTGCCATCCATTTTATAGGAAGTTTGCCTCGAGATGCTATAAAAATTTTGATTAAAAAGGACAGTTTTTATTAAAAAACTTTACATGTATAAATATATATATTGGATTAGTCCTAAGGAGATCATACTAAATTAATTAAAGTTGAATAAGCGCAAAATTCTAATGTAATATTTTAAATTGCACATCCTGAAATTCGCAATAATAAGAAAAAATAACAAATTAATTTGTTAGACGAATAGCCAAAGAGGAAAGGTAGGGTTTTTCCCCACTGCATACGAGCAGTATTTACCTGTATATATGTTATCTTCAACACAACGACTTAGACCAAAATCTGATAACTTCACGCAATATGGCGATGATAAGAGGACGTTACGAGCAGCGATGTCCCGATGCACATATTTACATGAATGCAAATAAACTAACGCAGAACTGAGTTGCTGACTGAATAAAAGTTGTACCGATAAGTCGATTGTCGCAGTGTTATGCAATAAATACTGTCTCAGCTATAAAGTTTCAACTGTATAAAAATGCTGCAATTGATAGCAGAAAAGCTTCGCAACATCTAAGATACGTAAAACCTTTTTTGTTCTTGAGCAAGAGATTTTTTGAATCAAATTTAATAAGAACATCTCTTCAAACTTTTCATGAAAATGTGGATAATTTTTTAAATTCTTGAAACTAACATACTTCGCCAAGTGGAGCCAATTCCATTACAATCCAAATAGGTTTTTCTATACAAATTCCCACCAATGCAATAATATGTTCATGATGAAATCGATGCATAACAACTGTAAAAAGCGAAAGTTTGCTTCGAAAGCAAAAAAGGCATTTTAAATTAATAAATCACTTTTTTTAACCTTCAAACTCCAACATAATCTCATCCAAATAATCTTCAACTTACAAGCTTCTTCCAAAAAATTCTGTCTCTCCATTGTTTCACCATCCATTTTGCAAACTTTTACAGCAACCGCATCTATTAAACCATCCTGAAAAGCCTTTATTGAAGACAAAAAATTCAAACTGTGGTGCAAAGCAATAAAGAACTGAAATTTGAAAGATTTTTTTAGTAATTTCAAACCTCTTTCATAAATGTTCCTCTGTAAACATTACCAAATTGGCCATCGCCCAGTAATTCTTCTAGTGTTACCCGCGAGCGATCCACAAGAAGATTATCATCTAAAATCAACAAAATCGATATGTTTCTAAAGATCAATTCTAATCTTTCTTTACAAATTACCTTTTGAAGAAGTAAGTGTCAAATCGCTATTTATAAAGGGCACTTTCATTTCTTGCCTTTTTAGCTCATCCACTAATTCTGAAATAAGTGAATAATTACCAGTAAGGGAAATTGCCAAATTGAATAGTTCAGTGACTAAGTGAATGCAAAAAGGAACTTCACCTTAAAAGTAATATTGCTTTTTTTTTAATTTCACAGAAATTCTGAAAACCTTATTAAAAAGCAAAGAAGACGGCTAAAAATGATTATACCAGATGGGGTCCAAATGGATCCCTGTTGTGATAGCAGCATGTGATAACCATTGATAAGATGTGCTAATGACTCGGCAATCGACCATGTCGGCAATGTAATTGACTAAAAAATCAAACATAAATCCATCACGATCACAAGTGAATCAGTAGCAATTTTCGAATATTATTTTTAGATCACTTCATTTATTATTGTGTTTCAGAATCGTTTAATGAAAGAAATACCAGCTGCTGTGAGCTTCCGCTTATTTTCAAATTAACTACAGTTTTTTCCGATTTTTCATCCAATTTCAATAACGTCAAATTGATAACGTATTGCAATTTTGCCAATAGAACAGGCTGAAAATACAAAAGTAATATTGAAAGAGCAGATTTATATAATGGTCAATTAAACTGAACCAAGACTAATAAGGCTGTCACTCTACTTAGCATTTACAAATGAAAATAAAATACATATGTTAAACGTTTAGCAATATAAGACTCTAACGCCTGATATTGTGTTTTCTATAAAGTAATTGCATAACTATAACTATCGTAATTGGCTAATTCAAAGAGTAGCTGCGGAGCTGGTAAAAAACTTTATAGCCATACTAGGATGAAAAATGGACAACTATACAAAACCAGAGTAAGTCAGCATCACAATATGTCTTTTGTATGGGTGGTATAATAAATATATTATTATGCATTATTATCTAATATTATTGATCCTCATGAATTTTATAAAATATTTTGCATTGAAACTGCAGCAAATGGTAGTGTTAAAGTTTATACCCCTCGGCCGCGTCCATCTGCAGCGCACGAAATACCAACAGCATTACCTACTATAACATCTAATGGATTCTTCCAAACGACCTAAAGTAAATTACTTGTATTCATGGTATCTTTAGAAATGTTTTCATGAGAACTTTGAAAGCAACTAAATCTGAAAGTTAAGTAGAGAACAGCAAGGAACAAAAATCGTTTGCTTTTCTGGAAAGATAACAAACAATGAGAAATGACATTATAAAAATGATAAAACATACACCCAAAGAAGCTCTAAATATTTCTGTATCAAACTGCGTTATTCGTTTAACAATTTCCAAGAAATGGAAAATGCATTCTGTTGGTGTAAGCAGTGAGTGCCTCTTCACTGCAGCTGTCAGTGTTTTCCTCAGCATTTTTGACTGGAAAAATAGATTAGTTCAATTTAAAACAAATTTCACAAATCATTATTAATTTAAGAAGAGAAAACAAAAATAAAAACTAAAATCGAGGTCTGATTTGAAATTCATTAATCAGTTTGACTACCTAATCAAGACACCAAAAAATAGTCCACACTTTTTCGATCCTACTTCAATATTGTTTTCTTCACCCCATTTCTAATATTTTCTTGTCTGGAATATATCTCCTACTAACAAACATGACCCCGTGAGAAAGATCTTAAACACTCTTCTTCTTGATTTAAAACCATACTTTGAGACAAACCTTCATATTAATAAGTATAGTTTCAGGCAAAAGTCGCGCAAGAGTTCCTTCGGCTTCAAGTTCATCCAAATTTAGATACTTTTCGATGCTACACCTGATAAATGAACTTATAACAAAAGTTTATACAAATTTAACATGAAGTACTAACTTAGAAGACAAAAAACTGACTTACAAGTTTTGATTTCCAAGCTTTCGACGTATCTGTAAAGCAGCTAATTCAATGGCTATCTCGGGAGGAACTTTCCATGACACCTGAGACGAACGTTTAATTTGGGTAAGTATAAAAGAAATGAAAAAGGTATTCAAAATATGTTAAAGGTTACAACTGAAAAAAGTGACGTAACGGTGAAGTTTTAGAAACTGCATATTTCATCCTTCAATAATTAAAATGTAAATGAAATAAATCAAATGCATACAGGAGGAGATGAACGATAAACTGAGTTACACTACACATAAATTTTCGATTTTATTGAAAAATTTGGAAAGTTCATAAAAAATAGAAGCAAACCTGAGTTACATAATCAGCAAGGATTTGATCATGCAAAAACATAAACGCATCCGTTTCTGTTTGATACATTTCCTCAAGGTCTTTCGATATGAAACGCAGCCGTAATTCAAACCTTAAATAAAAAGCATGGAAATCGGGATTAAGATCTAAAAAGTAATAAAACCATGACTTGATTGAAGTGAAGTTATTTTGAGAAATAATTTTAGAGCAAATACCAATTTTTCAAAATTTTTTCTTAATTTTAATTTAAAATTATTCCATTTAGCTTTTGAAAAATGAAATCAACCTGCGCCAACCATTAAGCAATCAGAAGCACACGATTACGGCGTAACAATCTATGATTATTATCAGCTCTTCATCTGTGAATTTAACTCACTAAAACAATTTTTTTCTAAACTTTTTTAATTAAAAATAAAATTCTACCGATGAAGAATGATAAATAAATGAGGAATTACCGGAGTTGAATGGAGCTCGAGTTTTTGCTGAAAAATTTGTGATAAACGTGTCGCATCGTGAGAGCTGAATGTAACCAATGGCAGTCATTGTTATTGTTGCATATTTGTGTTACCGGTGATCGGATTAAGCGAAGGGCGAAATATCCGAATGATACATGGTCAATGCCCAATGTTGATAATAAAATATGAATAACTTTCTGCAAACACTCCTCTAATTGAAACGTAATATAAAAGATTCATTGTTATAAAATGCCAGCGAAGATATGAGCAAACACAATAATCCAAAACCTCAGCAGTAATATTCCATCGCTAAATTAAATCACAAACATTTTTACAAATTTGATATAAACCCAAACAAAAATAATTCATCAGTTTAAAGATAGAACAATCATACTCTTTTCAAAAAATAAATGAATAAATAAAAGAAATAATAACCTGAACTTTGAATTCAAAGTTATATCGTACATTTTTTACGATACCATTGGGTATGTAAACCAGTATAACATCCGCCTCGTTCATTACCGCTGTCAACTGAATCAACTTGTCTTCTTTGTTGATAGGTCATTCAATCCATCTCTTCTGCAAGTTACAGCTGTTTTTAACGATTTCCTGCAATGATAAATCACTTTTAATTGCTAAATAACAACGCAAACCAAGGAATATTATGTAATACTCAGCTCATCTCACTGCTTACTGTATTGTGGATGAGACTGACAGATTCATCTCCGCGAGTTCGCGATATTCAATAGTACAACTATTTGATCAGCAACTGTGTCAAGTGAGCTGATTAGTCGATCGATAAACGATTATAAACATAACGCTCATCTGCTCCTCCTTTCCTCTCTTCCCGCCCTCAATCCTGGTCAATTAGAGTGATAACAATATCATCAAACAGAAGGGTGAGATTTGCCGAGAATTGATTTGATCAAAGCAACAAATAACATCGTATCGCTCTCAATCTCCACCTAAATCTCTCCAGCAGGCAACGATGAGATGTACTGACCGATATTACATTGTATTATATCAAATCGTCCTATTTAAGTCCCATTTCTGTTTAAAGTTTAAAATGCTTGTTTATGTTGTCAATGAAAGAAGGATAGGTAAAAATCTGTCAAACCTCAAATAAATCCGGTGAATCGGGATAAGAATGTTGCAACTACTCATTATTGTCAGTCTTCACTGCGTAACATTCATATTGTCTAGTATCATTTCACTTGGTCAGCAATTATCCAATGAATTTGGATCAACCATCAAGCATTATGTCCGACATGTTAACATGCACATATCTAATAGCATGGATAATATTGAAATTTGATGACTTCTCATTCTTTGAAAAAGCGCCTTTTCCTGCAAGCCACGTCGAAAGATCGATCACTGATGTGATAGTTGGTCTTTGGTAATCAGCGTAGGAGGAGGTGCGGCAGAGTCGGGCGGGACTGGCTCGAGTCGAGTTGGTTAGGTCGGGTCGGGTTGGCTCAGACGTGGTGACTTTTTTGTTTAGAGGGTTTGAAATTGATTTGATCAGTTAGGGTTTGTTTTACTTCGCTGTTAAACAGTTATCACTTGGTTAGTCTTTTTTTTTAAATAAAATCATTCTTTGTTCTCTTTTCTCATCAATGGCTAATATCGTTGAAAATTTGAACAATGACGTTTGAAATTATAGACAGAAGTAAATTTGCAACTGTTTGATGATGATTTTTCTTCTTTTAGATGGGCGAATATTTCTTTAATATTGACCACGGTTATTTGGAGGGTTTAGTCCGAGGATTCAAGGAAGGTATTCTGACACAAACCGATTATACCAATCTTGTTCAATGCGAAACTCTTGAAGGTAGCTTTTTCTCTACATAGTTAAATTCTGATGATTTGTAACAAGTAAATTGAAGCGAAACAACTTCACTTTCTTCCGTTTTAGAGTGTCTAAGAAATATTAGTCGAGAAAAGGTGAAAATTGTTAAAAAATATACATCTGTTGTGTTTGTTCGTTAGAAACTTTTATGACAGTTGTTAAAAAATTACAACATTTTCAGATCTGAAACTTCATATTCAGTCAACAGATTATGGAAGTTTTTTGGCAAATGAACCAGGCTCAATAACAGTCCAGGTAAATCAGTGGACTACGCGAACACATTAATACATTTGCACATTTGTATGGAGAAGTAAATATGTATATAATCATTACTGTATAGAATTTCCATTGAATTTTCTTAATTTTGCAGGTTATTGATGAGCGATTGAAAGAAAAGCTGGTAACGGAATTTACACATTTTCGAAACAATGCCCTGAAGCCCTTGTCAACATTTTTGGATTATATAACGTTAGTTAGAGAATTTTATTGATTGTTTATACTTGCAATTATACTGAAATGGCAGAATTGCCTGATTTATATCTTTCAATTTTTTGTTAAGAATGGTTAATTTCAGATACTCGTATATGATTGATAATATCATTTTGCTGATTACGGGGACATTACATCAACGGCCAATCAATGAGCTTATCTCGAAATGTCATCCTCTTGGTTCTTTTGAGCAGATGGAAGCTATTCATATCGTTTCAACACCAGCTGAACTTTATAATGCCGTGCTTGTGGATACTCCTTTAGGCAAAAATTATTCTTGATTTTTAGTTATAAAATATTTAAGATTTGGTATGATATGTGCAAAATTTCGGCGACTGTTTTGAAATTTCAATAAGCTTAAAAACTCAAATCACAAGCATGATCAACAACCGTTTAGTAAAAATTACTATAATATATAAGATGTAAGTGCTAAGACATGGAAAATTCCTTTTTTGTCCAAATAATGCTATTCAATTAAATTCTAAATTTTTGTTGCACTTTTCTTAGCCCACATATTTTTAATCATAATTTTAAAAACACAGCGTTACTGTTTATTTTGCAGCGGCGTACTTTGTTGATTGTATCAATGAACAGGACTTAGATGAAATGAACGTGGAAATAATTCGTAATACTCTATACCGCTCTTACTTGGAAGACTTTTACAAATTTTGCAAACGTTTAGGAGGGAAGACAGCAGAAGTTATGAGCGAAATTCTTGCGGTATGTTAAAAAGAATGAATGTACTTGTGGTCTCTTCCGAAACCTCAGCAGAATTATCGATCATCAAGATCATATTCGATTTCAGTATTCTTTCTAATGAATTATTTCCTTATTAGATGAATGCTATCTAGATTAATGTTGAGTCATTCTCTTCATGCATATTTTTTGTAGTTTGAAGCGGATCGGCGTGCTATTATAATAACAATCAACAGTTTTGACACCGAACTATCCAAGGATGATAGAGCCAAGCTTTATCCACGATGCGGGAAACTTTATCCTGAAGGTATTTCTTTGAAGTTTGATGTTGAGATCTGTTAATAATTTGCTGCCAATTAAGGATTGGTCGGATTGTCGAAGGCGGATGATTACGACCAAGTTAAGCAAGTCTGTGAATATTATTCAGATTACCGTGCACTTTTTGAAGGATCTGGTTTACAGCCGGGAGAAAAGGCGCTTGAAGACAAGTTTTTAGAATACGAAGTGAGTTTTATATCATAATTCGTATTCATATTTTTAGGCACCATACTGGAATCCCTAGTGTTCCTGTTTTCTAGTGACAATAAAACCGGAAATTCAGCTCAGTTCAGCTGTTCCGATTGTTAGGATCAAATGAACCTTTTTGTGAATTTTTCCAGGTGAAACTGAATGTTTTATCATTCTTGCATCAGTTCCATTTCGGTGTATTCTATGCATTCATCAAACTCAAAGAGCAGGAAATGAGAAATATCATTTGGATTGCAGAATGCATATCACAAAGGCATCGCGCTAAAATCGACAATTATATTCCGATTTTGTGAAATTTCATTAATTTCTATAATAGTTTTCTTCTTTCCTTCCTGTTAATCGTAGAAATCTTATGCCGTAATTTCTGTAAATCGTAGAAAGAACACCTTATGTAATTAGTTATGGCCAGTTGTCCAGTTTTTATTTCATAAACCAGCAAAGAAGAAGAATCCCTGTTGGCCTATGAAAAGTATTTATGCATTAATCTAGCAGTGCATCTATCGTATGATCTTTTCCATGGACGCTAAAATTTTCACCGCTGGAGTAAGCTTGCTCTAACTTGCTGTCCTCTTAATTAGTTAAATCATCCTGTGATTGGTTTCATTAATGTAACAAGCCTGTACATTGTCAGGCCTTTGTATATCTTAGTCATATATAGTATTCTGTCTCCTTACTAGCGTTTTCATCTTTTCACATTCCAATTTAATATAATTTTTCAATATTGGTGATACTTCTTTGTAGTCACTTATTATTTGTGAATATTGATCAGAAACTGTAGAATGAAAAAACGCAATTCACGGTAAAACTGTATAGTTAAAAAAAGAATGGAATTCAAGATTTTGGACACCTATAATTAAACAGAACAGTAACTATAGTAGTCTTATAAATTTTGCTACAGTCACCTCGTGAACCATTCATATATTACGGCTCCAATAACTCTAAATTTCAATTAGATATGCAAAGTATGCATAAATTTCATTAATCGACTGTGTATATCGATGTTTAGCTAAGGTCATATGCATAAATCAGAAGCGGAGTGCTGTTATTATGTATAATCAAGCTCTAGATAATTTTTGTTTACATCAAAACAAAAGATTTATCGGAACCTTCTTCATAATATACTTTCCATTATTTAAGCGGAATGAAACGAGAAGAATGTGTAGCACCAATACCTGGCCGTCCATGTTTCACAGGTTTGTATGTGATTGCGAATTCTCCCAAGTAATAACCAATCATTTCAGGCTTTATTTCGACCTGAAACTGTGTGGATTAATTTGCAAAATCCACAAATTATTTAAAAAATTGCTAAATAAATGGGAAAGGAAGAAATGAATGTATGAATGAACCTTACATTCTCGATTATAGGATAGGATCAGTAGAACTGAATGCTTGGTTTAATCACAACAAATGTACTGTAACTAACTGAACTTCGCAGATAATCCACTACGAAGTTTTTCGTACAGCATTATAATATAGCACAATTAAAAAATGATCATACAAGTGGACGTATGACAAGGAGTGTATTGTGCTTACGGCATTTTTGAGTTTATAAACAGCTCTTTCCATACATTTACCTTTTTTTATCAAATGTGATAAGCGTTTCCGATGAAAATCTTCATGAATATTGAACGTAATATAGAGATATCAAAAATTTCTCTACAAACAAGATTAATTCGAAGCTAGATCCAATTAAGACTATTACCATTCTACACAATAGATTGTCCATACAAAGTTGCGCCTACCGTTTGTTCAGTTTATAGTAACAATACAATATGTCCCTGTTTTCCTACATCTCTTTTCTCTTTATCACCTACACGCACAAGTCGGCAGTGGTCAAAATAAGAGAAATTCTCATAAAAAATATTTTCAGAAAAAGCTCACCTGATTAAAAACTTTCCCGTTGTATACTCCGACGACTGATCCAACCATTTCGGGTAATACAATCATATCGCGTAAATGAGTCTTAATTGTGGCTGGTTTTTCATGTAGTTGAGCTTCCTTTTTTGCTTTTCGTAACCGATTTAAAAATGCCAAGTGCTTACGTTTCAAGCCACGAGCCAGACGCCTACGTGCGCGGCACGGCAACAATTTCGCTAGTTGGTCACTAAAAAAATAAATTTTATAACTTCCTACAAGTTAGCAACTTTACTTGGCATAAATCATTATATATGACTGCAGATATTTCAGAATAGTTTATACTAATAAAACCACTTTGTGGCCATCGACTTTAAAACTCATGGCTATATAATCGACAGTATTAATCAGAACAAAAACCTAAACAACTAATCGATGATGGAGGAGAAAAGCATAAGAAAATGGTCTTAAACAGACAGGATTAATTATTACTCACACAATTAAGACACAAAAAAGCACTGACATAGTCATATCTCCAGCATACACTCTCACATTGAATTACACTAATTGCATTCAATCATATATTTCTCTTTTGCTGTTCTTTCGACAGCGTAATAACTGGTGTTCTGTCTAATGGGTGGCAGAACTGTAACACATTATTAAGTTATCAGCGATTGAACAAGTTGTACTCATTACTAACCGATTCAAATCCAAAAGTTGATCCAAATCAACTCCACGATACGTGAACTTTTTGAAGGTACGTTTCTTTTTCAACTCAGCAGCTGCAGCTTCATCTGTTTGCGACATAGCTGCTATGCAGCAGTTTACAAACAATAATAAACTCTGCAGTTGAAGAAATAATTTATAAACTACTATCGTAGTAAAAACATTATTTGGTACTATAAAAAAACCATAGAATTGTCTTATTTTACCCAATAACTATCTTTTAGTAGTACAGAAATGCGTAAGGCCACAATAGCAGAAGAATTAACTCCGTTTAAATTCTTGAACAAATCCAGAGTTCAATTTACATTAATTTATATCCCCCTCCACAAATTTAATTTGAAGAGTTAATGACTTGTATGACCAAAAGAACAAATATCTATTGATCTGAATAGCTAAAGACTAGCACATTGAATGACTTAGGTATCTCAATAAAAAAGCATTTTGCTTAGTAATAATCAAACATGATATGATACAATACCAGAAATTTTACTCAAATCTAGAAGACTATCGGATGGACCTCACCGACCAAGTAGTATGCATCACAAAACATTTGACCAGTAGACGAATTAAATGACAGGAAAATCCCATCTCACCGATAGATCAAATAAGCAATTTTATCGATAAAGCTGATTACTTGGCACTGTCGATCAAACTAACTGATTAGTTGACTACATTGCTCATTTTTCCCTTCAGGCGACACGTCACAGCCACCCCAAAATTTAGTCCCCGTACCAATGAGCCCAAGAAACTACACCGGAAACCGACACGCCCTAAAGGATAAGTTACGGTTTCCCGAACTGCGTCAAATTATTGTTTCGTCATGTTCGGTAGCGATATGAAATCAGTTCGTCTTATTGAATTAAATGAAAGAGAAAGCTGAGTAAGTGTATCGATGTTAGTCTGCGGGAGGAATGATAATAGCGAACTCTGCTTGGTGATCTCCAAGGCATTTGTCGAATGGAAGGATTTCCTGAGGGCATTCCGATAGGTATGTTTATGAAGAAGAACAAAGAATATGCTTATTTTTTTGTTTCTTTTCTCTGATGAAATGTTTGCTGTCCAATTGGCTCATACTGAAAGCATTATCTGCGCTTGTTATCCAATATATAATCATTGTCTCATCAGTGTTTCTGTCATTCCTTTTTGCTTTGTTTTTTTTATGATTAGTATTCTTTGTTTATAGAGTTGAACATAGAGAATGAGTTATGCTAGAATGATGTGATTGATAATTGATATTGCAATATTTTTTCTAGGCCTTTTATTTGAAAATGATAGTAGCTGCTTGAAAATATCATGAAATGAGTGGATAAGTTACGAAAGTTTCAAAAATGGCGGCGAATAGTCATTCAGATTCACATGATGTATTCTCAGACTTAATTCCTCGCTCTACAGTTTTCTTTGAAATTGGTTTATTTAGTTTTGTCTTGCGATTCCTGTATTAAGTGATCAAATCATTGATTTCCGTGAAGCAGCTAATGATATTTCCTAAATTGGCTAGTTGCATACAAATCTTTAAACTTATTAATTATTAATATTTATTTGGTATATGCATGTACGCATAAGGAATCAATTAAATCGACACCATTAAGAACTCTCGGAATACAATAAGAGAAAAGTAATAACGGGGAGCAAATGTTGATGCATGTTTGAATTATCGAGATAGAAAATTTGCAGTAAGCAGTCATGCTGTGGTACTTTGTTTGATTTAATTTCAAAATTTCTACTCAGTTCTAATGTAATGTTAAATTTAATTGCAGTTCAATCCATCCCAACTGTTATAATTGCGAATGTGAAAGGTTTTGAGAACTTTTTTACTTCTTTTTTCTTCTCTACCCTTCTTTCTCCTCCTAAGCACAAGAATGCATTACTTTAAATGAAAGTTTTAATAAATCTTCCACTGTCTTTGAAATATAGTAAATTTATCATATTTTAATTGCAGTAACCGATAAGTATAAAATTACAAATTTCCTCTTCATGAATGGGTTGTTAAGTTTCAGTTTAACGATATAAAAGCGATAGTTAAACAGACTTCTTCTGTTGGATTGTTTTATGGTTTTTTTTTGTAACATTGGTCAATCTGTTCCTTTTTGGGGTTTTTTCTCGGACAGTGGTCGTACTTAAATTTTACAGTTAAAGTTTTTTTGCGAGGACTTTGTTTAAAAATTAATTTCCACAAAATTAGGTTAAAAGAACAATGAGCAGCCTCCATTTTCACATCACTACTTTTTTTCTAACGATTTCTTTTTGTTGCTCATTACACTTTTCATTTGTCTATTATTGTTGGAAGTCTTTATTTTTTCATTGGTAATTTCTTTCAATCAGCTTGTCTCTTCAAATACTCATATTTTTTATTTGATAGAAAAAATTGAATATTTTGCTGTGTTGTATAGCAATGCAATCATTCATGAATAGACGAAATGCATTCGCATATTAATCAAATTTTGTGATTGCTGTTGTCACGTTTTCATCCACTGTTTATTTTCCTGAAGTAACTTAGTCTCAAAATTAAACATTCATTCTGTATGATTTCATATCACCTATTCAATTTACTTTTACTTATAATTTCTATTCTAATTTAATTCTAATAATTTGATATTTTGTATATCTCTTTGCCCCTTTTTTATTATTCAGCAATGCAGCACACATGATGAGTTCCCTTTTTTATAAAAATGTATTTTATTATGTTAGTTACAAAATCTTTTTACAAGAAGTACAAAAATTCTGAATCGCTAAATAAACCACTTTTCCACATTCAAAACATTGAACAATCAAAAATGAAAAGGAGCAGAGAGAAACTGCACTGCAATTTCTAATCAAAAAATAATAATCATAGACCTCCTGAATAGCATGATAATTAATAAACACCTACTACATCATTAGCCAAAAAATAAAAACAAATCACAAACAACAAAACCTTCACCAAATATCCGGAATACAAAAATAATTGAAACTTAAAAACAAAAGAAAAGCAAAAAACAGTATAAAACAGACGAGAAAACTTACAATTATCAATTTCCAAACTAAATCATCAAACGAAATCTGAGAATTATAAAAAAAGATTTTAAAAATTACAAATTTAGATCTGGCTGACTTTTGAATTATTACTACCAATTCTTCTATTTGGTATTCTTGCATTAGTGAGGGCGAGAAATTTCACAGAGACATATCCAACATGTAAGTCTTTTCAGATACATCAGTAGGCTAACAAATTGTTGGCTCATTTTTTGCTATACGAAATATAAATGTCTCGTAATTGTCAAGCTAAGTATTCCTTAAGGAAAGTGCACTGTATTTGGAGCTAAATATGAGAAAATTTCTTGATAGTGTTATTAACGCATACGTTGTGGACGTTAGCGTGCTTTGAAGTGGGTTATTGGTTTGATTTGACTTTGTGGCTATGTGACACAATCGAATCAGTTGGTGAGGGTTTCTTGGTTATTAGATTTAAACTTGGGTTGATTTGTGTTACAGAATTGGGTTTCTTGAAGAGGAGAATTGATCGTTCTGTTTGATTACGATCTGATAGATTCGACCTGGATTCGTTATTTAGGTTTTGGTTTAGAATGTTTGTTCAAAACACTGTTGAAGTTGATGTGGTGACTGCGCTGACTGACGTAGTTTATTGGATCAAATAAAGGTACTGACGATAATAACTGATGTAGTTGTCCGTGTAGCTACCAGCATTAACTTCTCCCCTCTTGTCTACTTTTTGGGATATTTAAATCCTTAAACAGGATG